TAGTTTGTATGGTGTTCTAATGAAGGATGCATATTATATATATGTGTGTTTGTGTGTGTGTGTGTGTGTGTGTGCCAGACCTATAGAATATACAATACCAAGAGTTAACCCTAAAAAGCAAATAAGAACCACTTTCAGGCTCCACCTAACTCCAGTGATAACAGTCTACACTCAGAAATCTATGAACAGTATCTGTTGGAATGGGTGTGGGGAGAAAGGTACCTATTCCAATGTTGGTGGTAGTGTAGCCTAGAGCAGCCATTACGGGAGTCAGTATGGAGAGTACTCAAAAACAGAAAACTAATCCACCATACAACACAGCTATCCAAATCCTGTAAATGTATCCTAATGAAATGAGTTGTGCATATGAGAAAATAAAATAAAACCCTATTTTTAGCAGCATACTTGACTACAGCCAGCTTGCAAACAACTCAGATGCCTACACAACAGGAAGGAATAAAGAAACTGTGGTACATCTAATCTGTTGGATACTACACAGCCATTAAAAGGAATGAAATTCTACCATCTGCAACAAAATAGTCTCAACCAGAGGCCATTATTGTCAAAGAAATAAGCCAATCGCAAAAGGACAAATATCATATGTTCTCACCGATATAAGGAAACATTGATGCAATATAAAAAGCAAATAGACATGTAGGTGAACAAGTTTATATCTATATTCTCATAGATGAGCTGTATAATGGACTGCCATACAAGGAAGTGAAAATACATTGCAGTATGCATTTATACATGCAAATCAAAGAAGGATTCCCAGTGAAGCAGTTAGATATACCTTGCTACTAGTTTTCCTTACTTGGCCTAAACCTACAAATCCAGGATGCACTTAAATATAGCAGAATGTCAACTTGTAGTTGTTACTAAGGACAAAACTACTGTACTAATGGGGGGAAATGGTGGGAAGGCAAAGATAGGTAAGAAGAAAGGATAGGAAAAGTTGGGAATCTCTATGCTTATAAAAGTATGACATGGAAAATAATAAAACTATTTTTTTTTAGAAAAAGAGTGCACCCTAATGTAAATCATTAGCTCCCACGAGTGCCCAAGAGTGCCAGTGATGCTTCAAACATATCCAAAAACATCTTCTGAAGTAGAAAGATGTCAGAGAGCTCAGTCTGACCAAGTAGAACAAAATAAAGGGAAAAAGACAAGTGTAATATCCTGAGCCACAGCAATGAGAAATGAGAACGAAAGGGGAACCAGAGCAGCCAGAATCAGGGAACCCTGTACGAAGGGCTTTGGCAAGATGCAGGAGAAGTGGCAAATGGGCAGGACCCTGTGCAAGCCTCCAAATCCCACAAGCAGAGGCCTGCACACACTCGGGGCTTATTAGGACATTCTCAGGGTCAGCTGGTCAAAGTGGTTTCAGCCCTGCCTAAGGAGCAGCACCCAGGGGAAACGGGGGGAGGCTGTATCTGATCCTTTTGGTATTTTCTCCTTACTTTGTGTTAGCCACACCTTGCTCCATGTGCTGGCAGAGAGCTTTTGAAACAATGTCCTGTCATTCTTCAACTTGATTTAACGTGTGCATGTCTTTTTCATTGATTTTAGATTTCTTCATTTACATAAGAACAGTTTTATTATGCAAGGAGACATAGATAGATGATTGATAGATAGATGGATAGATAGATATATGATAGAGACAATTGCATTCTCTAAAAGGCGGGCGCCGAAGAAAGGAGCCTGAAACTCCATCAGGCCTTCCACATGGGTGGTAGGGCCCCAGGCACTGGGTCATCTTCTGCTGCCTCTCCAGGCTCACTAGCAGGGGACTGGCTGGGAAGTGCAGTGGCTGGGAATCCTACTGGCACTCTATGGGCTGCCAGCATTGCAGGCAGCAGTGGAACCTGCTGTAACACAGCAGCAGCAGCCCCGACTTTGGATCCCTGACAGTCAGAGAGGGTAGAGTTTTGTAGTTTGGAATACAAATGCTGCATGTCTTCAGCAGTTAAAGTCATTTCAATGTAAGCACCACCAAAATGGTGTTCACTTGAATGACCTCAAGCACTCTGAGGCCAATCAGTTGTCTGCCTGGATGAGGCTGACTCCTGAGGCTCAGAGCTCAACCCAGCATGTGCTTCCCCTGCAGACTCTCCGTAACTTATGCTGCTCCTTTAAGATGCCCAGGGCAGTCACTTAGCTTCCTAGCCCTCTGACTGTCTTCTCAGTCACCCGGACAGTGAGACAGCTTGGGGAGCAGAACAACCACTCCAGGGAAGGACAGAGTAAATGTCCTTTGTTCCTCTGAGCCTGTGGCCTGCACATAGCCTTTCCCCCAATGCCTTTCCTCCAGACACATCTAATGGATATTGCCAAGGCAGACATTGCTAATTGATCACAACATTGTTTGTACTCAAAGCCAGAAACAGCATACCTTACAACTCTCAACCCAGGCTCCACAAAACAAAAACAAAAACAAAGACAGATAATGAGTTGATCTATCTCGTGGAGCTCATTTGGCATTCATTTCCTTCGGTGTCCTCAGGTGTGAGGACCAGGGTGAAAACCCAGTACAGACACCTGGTTGCAGTCAGAGGCAGGGCCCAGGTCCCAGTGCTTGAGAGCTGAGATCCTGGAGGGGCCAACTGTAGCAATGAAATCCATCTGCATCTGTTTTGGGGGAAACGGTCTCCATTGGCATGGATCCTGAAAGAATAATTGCCATTTGAGAAGAGCAAGCCCTGGGTTTGGAGCTGTCAGATGTAAACCACAGAATAACGTAAAATCAACTTTTAAATGATGGAAAGAGGGTATTTGGTGCAGCGACTAACATGCCACTTTGGATAACCACATCCCATATGGCATGCCTGGGTTTGAGCTGTGGCTCTGCTTCCATTCCAGCTCATGCACACCCCAGAAGGCATGGGCAACAGCTACAATCTTGAGTTCCTGCCACCTTGTGACAGATCTGGATTGAGTTCTGGGCTCCTAGTTTTGACCAGGCCCAGGCCTGGCTTTTTTTTTGAATGTTTGAGAGTGACCCTATAGATGAGAGATCTGATGCTCTCTCTATCTTTGAAGCAATATTTCAGTATTATTACTATTTGTTAGTATAAGGAAGAAGAGATTTCATGCATTTCTCACGTGTATCCCTTGGAGGCAGTCCCACACCCTTCCCTCCTGCCTGTTCCCATCTTCTTCACTTTGATCCTCCTCTGTTCGCCAGTTTTAATGAAGAGATCATTTTAACATGTTCTATACCCACAGGCTTAACTCACCACAAATCATAATATTCAGAAAATTAAAAAAAACAGGAAGACCACACTTCCACAAGGGTACAAACAAGGATTAAAATGACAATCATATCACAAGACATTCATTTCATTCTTGTACATTTTTGAACTATGTGTTATCTATCATATACCAACTAAATTATGTACTATTTTTGAGTAGTTTATTTCGCTAAGCATAATGGTTTCCACTACATCCATTTTGTTACAAGACAGGATTTCATTCTTTTTTTTTTTTTAAGATTTATTTATTTTTATTGCAATGTCAGATATACAGAGAAGAGAAGAGACAGCGATGAAGATCTTTTGTCCAATGATTCACTCCCCATGTGACCTCAATGGCCAGAGCTGTGCCGATCTGAAGCCAGGAGCCAGGAGCCAGGAGCCAGGAACTTCCTCAAGATCTCCCATGCGGGTGCAGGGTTCCAAGGCTTGGGCTGTCCTCCACTGTTTTCCCAGGCCACAAGCATGGAGCTGGATGGGAAGCAGGACTGTCGGTATTAGAACAGGGCTGTCAGGATTTGTTGATTTCATATGGGATCCTGGCGAGTTCAAGGTGAGAACGTTAGCCACTAGGCCACCGTGACAGACCCAGGATTTCATTCTTTTTATGGCGGAATAGTCCACACCACATCTTCTTGACCCAGTCATCAATGATGAACATCTGGATTGACTCTATATCTTAGTTATTATAAACTGAATTGCAAGAAATGTGGGGTACAAGTAACTTTCACATGCTGATCCCATGTTAGTGAGTAAATCCCCAGGAATCAGAAGGTTGAATTATATACTTCCTGATTCCTGAGGAATCTCTATACTGTCTGCCAAGATGGCTGTATTAGTTTATAATTCCATCAGCAGTGAATTAGAGGAACTTTTTCCAAACCCTCAACAGGATTTTCTTTGAATATGTGGGTTGATTCCATATGTTAACCTCTGTGACTTGAACTGCAAGAAACATATTGGTACAAATATCATTTGGATGGTATATTACCAAGAGTTTACGTAAGAATAGATCATATGATAACTCTATTTTCAGAGGTCTGAGGAAACTCCGTACTCTTTCCATAATGCTTGTGGAGGAGCGAATTGATTTCTGCAGTTTCTATTCTGTTCTGTTGGCTTCTGTTTTTGTGCTAGTACCAGGCTGTTTTAACTGCCCTGCAGAATGTCTTGAAGCCTGATAGTATGATGCCTCCAGATTTGTGTTATTTGCTTTTTAAGATTGTATTAGCTGATTCATTTCATGGTTATATCCCCAGGCGTAGGGTAGCTGGGACGTATGGTAGATCTAGTTCAAGATTTCTGATGACTTTGTTCCACAATGATTGGACCAATTTACAGTCCAAAATTGTTGTCCTGGAACCATTATGCTCATTAACCATAATAAGCCTGTCTCAAAACACAAATATAATGTTTTCTCTGATACATGACAGTTGAGACATAATGAAAAATACATAGGAATGAAATGTTCACTTTGGGAGATGACTGTTATTTTTAGTCCCTGCTGGGTTCTTTTTTACTTTTACCTGTTCAAAGTTATGACCCCGGCTTCAAATGCTTCAAATATTCTAAGATTGTAGCCCCTATGGAGAAAAGATGTCAGCGTCTTAGGGACCTTCTGAAATCAGCACCTGAGTCCAAAGCAGGGGATGATGTTTGTAGTGGAAGCCTTGCACGTCCGCCACACCTCCTCACTGGTGAGTGTTTCTGTCTCTTTAAGTCCCTTAACCATTCAGCCGTTCCTGAGCCCTGAGCTCTGAGTTGTGTGTGACTTCCTCTGTGTATGTGGGAGGAAGAAGGCTGCTACATTCGCACCGAGGGGAAAGCAGCAAACAAGGGCCTTGCAGACTCTATTCCAGAGCCTGGCACCAGGGAAGGTGAGCCTGTTCCAGGTTTGGGAGCACACCGGGGTGAGGGCAGGAAGCAGTCAGTGCCTAAAGGTGTGGTTCCAATGAGGTTGACTGAGTGAGAGCTCCTGACAGTTAGGTGGAGGACGGGGAGTGTGATCTGGAAGGAGTCACATGTTTCCAGGATGATAAGGGTGATCCAATTTCCAAATGGACTAGATTTGGAAAGAGTGGTAAGCATTTTCACCAACTCTGGAAAGGACACTCCTTATTTTTGGACTAAATCCTTTCTGTTTCCCTTCTGCACGGTTCATCATTGGTGAAGACCTCTTGTTTCAGCCAAATTCTTGCTCTAACCAGCACGCTAAATATACACAGCTGTTTTAGCTCTGTTCCGGTGTCAACTACAAGAATATGTTGTTTCTTTTTTAAATACACTTTGCTTCTGAGTTGTTTTAGATTTATAAAACAAATATTGTGAAGGATCATGAAGAGCTCCCGTATTCCCCACACTCAGCTTCCTCTGTTATTAAAAACTCATGCTATATTTGTCACAACAAATAAACCATACCCAGATTCCCCTATTACTGGCATCTTGCACCGGTTTGATATATTAGTTAAAATTCATAAGCAGTGCTCAGCTTCCCATAGTTTTTTGAGACTCCCAACCTTTGATGATCACCGTTCTGAGTTCAGATTGAGGGACAACAGGCAGTATCTGACTTTCCATCTGCTTTATTTTACTTCGCATCAGCTTCTGCAGTTTCACCCACTTTGCTGCAAAGGACAGAATATCATTATTTTTGCGGCTCAGTAATGTTCTATTGTGCTTATACACAACATTTTCTTTATCCCATGATGGACATCTTAGCTATTATGAATATTGCTGTAATAAACAGGATGAAGTGGGCGATTCATGTCTTTTGGATATATATCTGTTCTGGATTTCTGGATAATACGGCAATTTTTTTTGTAGTTTAAAAACATATATATATGAAGATATGTAAAGAAATCTGTGTATGTATATATCATATTTTCCATTCCCCTTTCTCTATATCCTACCAGCACTAGTTGCTTTCTGTCTTCTTTATAATAACCACTGTAACAGTGGTACGGTGACAGCTCGTTGAGTTTTTGAACTGTATTTCACAGGTGGCTATCACACTTTCTAACGTCCTAGGTCATTTGTATCCATTTTTTGATAACCTTGTGGTCATGTACTTTGTCCATTTCGTTTTTCTTAAAATTCATATAAAATTAACACATTTCATGTACTTCATAGTGCAGATTTAGGAACACAGAATACTTCCCACTGTATCCTAACTCCTGCTCAAATTCCCACTCTCATTCCTTATCTTTTTTTCTTTTTCTTTCTTTCTTTCTAATATTCGCAATGGCGCACTTTCACTTCACTGCACAATCACAGGCTTAACACTGCACTGGGGAAAGATATTAACGCAGAGCAAGCAGAAAAAAATACATAAAGGCCTACTTTTCCTCAATGTTATACACAACTCTTGTATGCACTAATAAATCCCAGAATGTCACTCTCATTATAGATCGCATTTTTTGTGCTCCATGTATTAGTTGTCGAGAGAAAACATATGATGTCTTTTGGGAACTGGCTAATTTCATGAAGCATAATGGCTTCCAGTTGCATCTGTTTGGTTGCAAAACACAAGACTTGATTCCTTCGTGTGGCTGAGTAGTATTCCACAATGTGAACGTACCATTTTTTCTTTAATCAATTATCAGTTGATGGCAATCTGAGTTGGCTCCATAATTTAGCTATTGTGAGCTGAAATGCAATAAACATGGGGGGGGGGCGAAATACTCCTTCACACGCTCATTTAGCTTCATTTCAGGAAATTGCCAGGAGTGGAATGGCTGGATAATATGGTGGATCTATTTTCATATTTCTGAAGAATTCCTGTACTGTCTTCTGTAATGGTTGTAAGAGTTTACCATCAACAGTGAATTAGGGGAACATGTTCCATCCTCTCCAGGATTTTAAAAAAATTTTTTTGGATGATAGCCATCATAATTTGGGGGGGGGGGAATAAAATCTCATTGTGGTTTTTCTTTGTTTTTCCCTGACAGCTAATGATCCTGAGTATTTTTTACTTGTCTGCAAGATATTTGAATTTCATCCTTTGAAAAATACCAACTCATATCTTTACCCATTGGTTTTGTTGTTGCTGCTTCTTGAGCTCTTTATAGCTCCTAGATATTAATCCTCTGTCAGTTACACAGTTTTATAGTTTTCAAATATTTTTTCCTGTTCTGTCGGCTGCCTCTTCACTTGGATGGGTGCTTGCTTTGAGTGCAGACACTCTCTTAGCTTGATATAATCCCATTTGTTTGTATTTGCTTTAATTGCTGTGCTTCTGGGGTCTTTTCCAAGAAGTTTTGTCTTACAGAGTTTCCCTAACATTTTCCTCTAGTAGTTTGATGCTATCAGGTCATTTATTAAGTCACGAAGAGATATGTGATTACTTTATCCCTGCATCTTCTCAGTTGTTTAAGTCATGCAGGGTGTTGATTTAGATTCTTGATCCATTTAGAGCTGATTTTAATATAAAGTTTTAGGTATGGGTCTTGTTTCTTCTGCACACAAAGATTCAATTTTCCCAGAACTATTTGCTGAAGAGACTGTCCTTTCTCCCTGGATTGATTTCAGTTGGTTTCCCAAAAATTTAGTTGGCTGCAGATATGTGGGTTCATTTCTGGGAATTCTACCCTGTTCCATTGATCTTTATGTTGCTTTTTGAGCTAGTACATGGTTGCTTTTATTACAATTATCCTGTAATAGGTTTTTTTTTAAGATTATTTATTTTTATTACAAAGTCAGATATACAGAGAGGAGGCAAGATAGAGAGAAAGATCTTCCGTCCGATGATTCACTCCCCAAGTGACCGCAACGGCTGGTGCTGTGCTTACCCCGAGCCAACATCCAGGAACCTCCTCCAGGTCTCCCACACGGGTGCAGGATCCAAAGGCTTTGGGCTGTCCTCAACTGCTTTCCCAGGCCACAAGCAGGGATCTGGATGGGAAGTGGAGTTGCTGGGATTAGAACTGGCGCCCATATGGGATTTGGTGTGTTCAAGGCGAGGACTTTAGCTGCTAGGCCAAGCTGCTGGGACCCTGTAATAGGTTTTGAAGTCCAGATTTGTTTTTGTTGTTTAAGATTGTTTTAGCCAATTGGGGTCTTTTTTATTTCTTGATGAATTTTGCTATCTTTTCTACACTTAAGAATGCACTAGGTATTTTGATTGGGACCACATTGAATCTTTCACTAGTATGACATTTAATGATATTAATTGTAATAATTCACAAACATGGTTGATTTTTCCATATTTTGTGACTTCTTCTATTTCTTTTTTTAAAGATTTATTTTATTTTTATTGGAAAGTCAGATATACAGAGAGGAGGAGAGACAGAAAGGAAGAGCTTCTGTCCAATGATTCATTCCCTAAGTCACTGCAACAGCTGGTGCTGCACTGATCTGAAGCCAGGAGCCGGGAGCCAGGAACTTCCTCCAGGTCTCCCACGCAGGTACAGGAACCCAAGGCTTTAAGTTGTCCTCAACTGCTTTCCCAGTTTACAAACAGGGAACTGGATAGGAAGCTGGATTGCGGGGATTAGGACGGGTGCCCATATGGATTCCCGGCGGTTCAAGGTGAGGACTTTAGCTGCTAGGCCACCACACTGGGCTCTCTATTTATTTCTTTTATTTCTTTCTTTAATGTTTTCTAATTTTTGTTGCATAAATGTTTCTCCTCCTTGATTAAATTTATTTCAAGATATCTGAGTGGTTTTTTTTTTTTTTTTTTTTTTTTTTTTTTTAGCTATTGTGAAGCAGCTGATCTTACAAGTTCTCAGCCATGGCATTGTGTGTGTATATAATTGTATGTTTTGCTTTTATATTCTGCAACTTTAGCAAACTCTTATTGAGGTCATTAGTCTTAATGCAGTCTTTTTTCCCTATATATACAGAATTATGTCATCTGCAAGCAGGGGTAATTTAATTTCTCGTTCCTAATTGGTATCCCTTTGATTTCTTTTTCTTGAGTATTGGCTCTGATTAAAACTTCCAGAAGTGTATTAAACACCAGTGGTGAAAGTGGGCATTCTTGTCTGGTTCTGGAACTTTCCTCCATTTTATTTGATGCTGACTATAGGTTTTTAATATATTGCCTGTATTGTGCTGAAGTAGATTCTTTCTAAACCAAAAGTTTAAGTTTTTTTAAATTATGAAATGATATTGTATTTTATCAACTGCTTTTTATGTATCTATTGAACTAATCATGTGGTTTTTATTTTTCACTTTGTTAGTGTGATGCGCCACATTTACTGATTTGCACGTATTGCATACCAGGGATAACTCCCTTTTGGTCTGGGTGAATGACCTCTCTGATGTTTTGTTGGGTTTGATAAGCTAATATTTTGCTGAGAATTCTTGCATCTATATTCATCAGTGATATTGACCTTTAGTTCTCTTTCTTTAATGTATCTTTTTTTTTTTTTCTAGTTTTGGAACTAAGGTAATGCTGGCTCATAAGAGGAATTTGGAAAGATTCCTTCTTAACCGAATTTTTTGAATTTCTAATATCTCTGGATCTTAACCACTTTTTTCAGATAAGTAGCCTGTCAACATTTTATTCCATTTTGTTAGATATCTCTTCAGTTTAGTCACTGATTTCTTTGCCGTGTAGTGGCTTCTGAGTCGGAGACAATTCCTCTGTCTGGTTTTGCTTTCGGTGCCTGTGCTGTTTGAATCTTATCCAAGAAACCATTGCCTGTGTATGTAAATGTTTCTTCTATGTTTTCTTTTAGGAGTTTCACAATTTCATGCTTTATGCTTGGGTCTTTGACCATCTTGAGCTGTTGAGAGACAAGGATCTAATTTCATTCTTCTTTCTGTTCCTATCCAATTTTGCCTTCATGCTTTGTTAAAAAGACTGTTGTTTTTCCAATGTTTGTTCTTTGTATGTTTGTCAAAATCAGTTGGCTACATGAACATGTATTAATGTCTGGGTTCTCTGTCTTCTGTTGCATTGATTTCTAGATTCCAGAGTTAGTGAACCACACCCTGATACCCAGTTATACTCATTCTATACCTAACTTGCTCAGAGTTTCTAGTAGTTTTTCATTATCTTTTGTAGTACTGCAGCTTGGGATATAATTTATTATTTTTCATCTCTGATTTTATTTATTTAAGACTTTTTTTTCTGGTCCAGCATAGTAGCCTAGTGGCTGAAGTCCTCGCCTTGCACACATCAGGATCCCATATGGGTGCTGGTTCGTGTCCTGACTGCTCCACTTCCCTTCCAGCTCCCTGCTTGTGGCCTGGGAAAACAGTGGAAGACAGCTGAGGGCACCTGCTTAGAGGGCCCAGAAGAAGCTCCTGGCTCCTGCCTTTGCATCAGTTCAGCTCTAGGAGTTGTGACCACCTGGAGAGTGAACCAGTGGATAGAAGATCTTTCTGTCTCTTCTCTTTGTAAATCTGACTTTTCAATTAAAAAAATAAATAAGTCTTTTCTTTAAAAAGTTTCTTTCCTTTTAAAAAAAGATTCTTTTCTTTTTTGTTTTCAGTCTCACTAAAATTCTGTCTGTTTATAAGTAGAAACAAATCAAACCAAAAATAGCAAGAGGCAAGAAATAATAAGAATCAGAGCAGAATGAAGTTAAAGCTGAATAATAAAATAATCCCCCTGAAGCATCAGCAAAATTAAAGGCTATTTTTTTACAAGTATATTGATTTCAAGATGCAAAATAATTTTTCATACAGCTTGTTGTTTTAATTTTAGCAGAATTTATTACTACTGACAAAGTTTCTTTGACTTCTGTCTAGCTGCTTGTCTTTCCTTAAAAACACACACCTAGATGTTAAGACTTGCAGGCAGGAGCCAGGTCTTGACACTGATGTCATTGTGGTGTCACCGATGGCTTTGGTCTTTGACTAATGTACTTCATTCTATTGATGGAATGAACAAATAACGAATAAACTGTGTTTGGGACTCTTGCAGGCAAGCATGGGAGGACGGAAGATGGCGAGAGATGAAGAAAATGTCTGTGGTAAGGACACATCCCCTCCCCTCTCCTCCCACCTCCCAGATGGGAGCTTAGGGAAAGAGGAGGGAAGGGACTTCCCTAGGATTGCACAAGAGTAAGACCTGGAAGACCCCCAAGACTGGAGCAGAACACCAAGACCCAAGGTCTGCACCACAGCTGGATCTCTGTCCGCGCTCTGCTCTGAGACGCAAGCCTTTCTCTGGGTTGCTGAGGAATAAAATGAGGGGAATAAATTTGCTCTGACTGCAGCAGAAGGCAAAGAGACTACAAAACATGCATTAAAGTGAACATCAGTTAGCAGGCAGACTATATTAACAAACAAGGATGGAGGGATAAAATGGATGTGTTTTTTCTGAGAATAAGTTTTTAAAAGAAGAGTGTGGAAGGAAAGAGAAAGGTGGGAGAAGGAAAGAGATTTTATTAAGCCCTCTCAGTAGTTCTAGCAGAAACCATGATGTATGATGATTGCTATTTTTGCAGAGGTGATTTGGGAGAGACTGAGCAGCTTCCTTAAGGTTACCCTGAGAGGGGCCCGGCGCGGTGGCGCAAGTGGTTAAAGGTCCTCGCCTTGCACGCCCGGGATCCCATATGGGCGCCGGTTCTAATCCCGGCAGCCCTGCTTCCCTTCCAGCTCCCTGCCTGTGGCCCGGGAGACCCAGAGGAGGCTCCTGGCTTCGGATCGGCATAGTATCGGCCCGTTGCGCTCACTTGGGGAGTGAATCATTGGACGGAAGATCTTCCTCTCTGTCTCTCCTCTCTGTATATCTGCCTTTCCAATAAAAAAAATAATAATAATAATAAAAATAAATCTTTAAAAAAAAAAAAAAGGTTACACTGAGAGCACTTGGGGTGGGGGTGGGGATGTCTGAGACCTCAGAAGGTGTTCCATCATCAAGCAGTGCTGCCCGACCTTTCCTCCCCGCGGCTGGCATCTGGGAGAACAACATAGAATCCATTGACACGCTCAAACATGGGATGGGGTGTGGGTGCCTGGCTATGGATGTCCAGTAGTTAACTCAGATAAAGCGATGACTGGAAATTCTAGAGGAGCCGTTTCTGGCATGTCCAGCAGTGTTGCAACATCTGTGGGTGCGTGCAGAAAAGTCAAATTTAGAAGGAGAATAACAGTATGCACCACTCAGGAGTTCAAACTGTATAAGCAGATGACTGCTCTAAAGATTTGGTAAAAAAAAAAAAAAAATGGCTGTTGGGTGGGGAGAGAATTCAAGTCTCTATTCCACCCTTTTTTGTTCTACAAGCAAGAAGGTTTCCATTTTGGAGAGCAAGTTGGGTTAACTGCCAGGAGATTGACACCATTTGTTCTTCCAGGTCTAGAAGATGACAGCCAGTCCTTCCAGGCTCCCAAGCTGAGACTCATCCTGGCTGGGAGGACAGGAGTGGGGAAGAGCGCCACGGGGAACACTCTCCTGGGTAGGAAGATGTTCCTCTCCAGGCTTGGAGCCTCCGCCGTCACCAGAACGTGCACTGTGGCTAGTGGCAGCTGGGACAGGTGGCACATGGATGTCATTGACACCCCGGACATCTTCACCTCCGAAGTCTCCAAGACAGACCCAGAGGGCGTGGAGAGAGGTCGTTGCTACCTGCTCTCCTCCCCAGGGCCCCACGCACTGCTCCTAGTGACCCAGCTGGGTCGCTACACGGCCCATGATCAGGAGGCTGTGATGAAGGTGAAGGAGATGTTCGGGGAGGATGTGATGGCACGGACGGTCATTGTCTTCACCAGGAAGGAGGACCTTGTCGGTGGGTCTCTACAGGACTACGTGCGCTGCACGGACAATCAGGCCCTGCGAGAGCTGGTGGCCGAGTGCGGAGGCAGAGTCTGTGCCTTCGACAATGGAGCTACCGGCAGTGAGCAAGAGGCCCAGGTGAAGCAGCTGCTGGGCCTGGTAGAGCACCTTGTGAGGGAGAATGCGGGCAGCCACTACACCAACAAGGAATACTGCTTTGTGCAGTCCCTGCCTTGGGCCAGCCCGGAGCAGCGTCTCCAAATGGTGGCGGAGAAGGTGAAGGCCCGCATGCAGAGGTCTACTGCAAAATGGCCACTGACCTGGCTGTGGAAGTGGCAGAAGTCGCTAGGTAGCAGGTGGAGATGGAAGCTGGTCCTCGTGTTGGGGGGCTCTCTCCTGCTCTGTGTGTTACTCTGGAGGTGCCAGCCCGAGGTCTTCACTGAGGTCAGTCGTGAGCAATAGAGGGGACGGGTCAACCACTGGTCTCACGCATCTCTGTTCTGCATCAGGATTCACGCACTTTCCTTTCCTCCACCCCATGACCTGCCGGCTGGAGAATCCAGCCTGGGACCTCTTGGAGCTGGGCCCATGCTGCAGTTAAATGATGGCTGTCACTCGTGCCTGTCTTCCCTAACCTGAGACTACTTTTTCCTGCCGTTGATTGTCTCCTAAAAATCGATAAGAATATATGTCCTCCCAGTCCCTGTATTTCCCATAGACAGAAAACTAAAAACGAGCACAAAGAACAACCTCAGGACCCTCATGTTGATTTTAATTGAATTTGTTATTTTCAAAAATAAATGCATTGCCAGCTCTTATTGTAGTAAAAGAACTCGAAATCTATAGATGTTTCTGCTCAAGTGCCTTAAATGCCCAGCAAGTAAAGCACTGCACTCTGCTATTCCTAACGCTTTCTGCATGCTGCCGTGTGCCTCTCCTGGTGTGTACGCATGAGAACAGAAAATAGGGGAGAGGAATGTTCCCTCTGTGCTAACAGGGCAGTGAGTCCCTACATACTGTTCTCCTGAGCCCCCAGCAACTTGAAAGTAGAGCATTCCGCCGGTCCGAGGAGGAGGCAGACTCAGCTGCCAGCAGCCGTGGAGGGCCTATGGAATGTCTGCTGCCCAGCAGAGGCCTTCTCGTCAGCATACACACTCATAGGCAACCCATGCAAGAACAGTAACTCCTGGGACATTTTCAACTTAGAGACAAATCAAAACATTCAAAAAAGTTTGGAATTTTTTTCTTCTAGGGTTTGGATCTCCCTAAGCACGTTGGGGGTATGGGGCAATTCAGTGTAGACTGAGGGTAGGTGGCTTGGTTGTGGATGCTGGAGCCACTTCCTAGCTCTCCATATGTGTAGGGAGGAGTTGGCTCTCTGTTCCAGGAAAGAGCCCTATTGTTCCTCCAAATTCAAGCAATCATGTTTGTTTTGTACCCAACACCACTACCCTCACACACAAACTGCCAGCCATCCCTAATTCTGCGGGGGAAATGCAAATACCTCTCCCTACAGTGTCTTCTGCCTGCTGCCTCCACAGTCCGAGGATCCCAGGTGATCTACGGGGAGACGTGTAGACAGGAGAGCATCTGCCAACAACTGGGACAGTATTGGAGAGAAAGCCTACGAGTCCCTTACATGCAAAGCTAGTGCATGCTGGTGCTTAAGGAATGCCAAGGCATTGCGCTGGGACTTGCTGTCTTCAGGAGCAGACAGCATGCTAGTTTAAGGAATCTTGATTTGGTTTGCTCATTTTCCAATATACTATTGAGGGAGGCAATTTGGTGTGGTTTGGAAGACACTGCGTAGGCATCCTCATTCCACTTCTGTGCTGGGTTGGAGTCCTGACTCAGAAATGGCTATTGCAGGCATTGTGAGAGATTTCTCCCTTTCTCTCTCTCTCTGTCTTACTCTGTAGTATGTAAAAATTAAAGCCAGATTTTAAAAAACCAAAACAGTGTGACCCTCCTTTAAACAGTTATATTGTGACATACATATATATATGTGATATACACATATGCATATATACATGTATGTGTATATATATACATATATATATGCATACTCTTGTAACAAACAAGCAGAGAAAGAAAAAAAAAACTCTGCAATGGACACTCTCCTGATCATTGCTGAAGATAAATGAGACCAGTATTGCGGCAGTGGGTGAAGTTAATGCCTGCTATTCTGGCGTTCTATCTAAGCATCGGTTTGAGTGCTGGCTACTGCACTTCTAATCCAGCTCCATGCCAATGTGCCTGGGAAAGCAGTGGAAGAAGGCATAAGTGATTGGGCCCCTACATACACATGGGAGTCCTGGGTTAAGCTCCTGGCTCCTGGCTACAAACTAGCCCAGCTCCTGGAGATTGCTGCCATTTGGAGAATGAACCAACAAATGAAAGACCTCTCTCTGCTTATCTTCTCTCTCTCTCTCATTCTGCCTTTCAAATAAATTTAAAAACACAATTTTTTAAAAAAAGATTTATTTTATTTTTATTAGAAAGGCGGATATACAGAGAGGAGAGACAGAGAGGAAGACCTTCTGTCCGATGATTCACTCCCCAAGTGAGCGCAACAGGAGATGCTATGCCGATCCGAAGCCAAGAGCCTCTTCTGGGTGCAGGGTCCCAAAGCTTTGGGCCGTCCTCAACTTCTCTCCCGGGCCACAAGCAGGGAGCTAGATGGGAAGCGGGGCCGCCGGATTAGAACCGGTGCCCATATGGGATCCCAGGCGTGGAAGGCGAGGACCTTAACCACTGCACCATCGCGCCAGGCCCCAAATCACAAATTTTTAAGAAAAAAAGAAATTTGGGAAAAATGGTAGCAGAATATATGATGTAAGCAACGGGAGGTCTGGAGGTCTTAATCCTTGACTCAAGTCAAGTGAGCAACATTTGATTTCTGCTATTCAGTTGAAGTATGAATCCCAGAGATTTCTCCAGGCTCAGTGAACGAGCTAGTAGGAATACAAGGAGAAACACTTCAGGGTCCCGAGGATAAGGCTGTTGTCTGATTCAACCTGCACCCAGCGAAGGCTGAGCCCACAGTGGGGAAAGGGAAACTGCTTTGCAGCGTCACATAGGATAACCTGTGTATATGAGGGGTTGCCCAAAAAACGAGGATGCCATGAAAAATATATAAAATATTGATGGCGGGACTAAAATTTATATACTGTGGGGTAACTGGGTATCCATCTGCAAAAAAAAAGCGAATTAACTCAGAATAAATCAAGTACAAGAGTTAAAACTACGAAATTCTTTTTAACATAAGAAAATGGTTGACAGAACACAAATCAAAAATACCTCAAGTGTCTTCACAGAATATATTTAATATATTATAAAAAAACTGACTTTAGCAAAATTATAGTTCCCATCAATTCTACACAATCAAAACAGAGGTTGGTTTTCACCTTCTTGAATGAAATTAGTGTTGTTCTGAATCTATTAGTTAAAAATTAGAATTAGAAATGTGAAGAAGCAAACCACAAAATCAAAAAGACACATAAAATTTAACATTAAATTTAACCCACAGTTAATAGTAGGTCACAGTTCTTTAAGAATAAGAAATATCAAAAGGAAAGGCAATCAAGTGGAACTCACACTTATAAAACATGAACATGGTTCAGCTCTGAGCCTCAGGAGTCAGCCTCATCCAGGCAGACAACTGACTGGCCTCAGAGTGCTTGAGGTCATTCAAGTGAACACCATTTTGGTGGTGCTTACATTGAAATGACTTTAACTGCTGAAGACATGCAGCATTTGTATTCCAAACTACAAAACTCTACCCTCTCTGACTGTCAGAGATCCAAAGTCAGGGCTGCTGCTGCTGTGTTACAGCAGGTTCCACTGCTGCCTGCAATGCTGGCAGCCCATAGAGTGCCAGTAGGATTCCCAGCCACTGCACTTCCCAGCCAGTCCCCTGCTAGTGAGCCTGGAGAGGCAGTAGAAGATGACCCAGTGCCTGGGGCCCTACCACCCATGTGGAAGGCCTAGATTAATCTCTACAAGTGACTTTAACCTGGCCTCACCCCGTAGTCTTTTGGGGAGTGAAATAGTGGTTGAAAAACTCTCTCTTTGGGCCCGGTGTGCTAGCATAGTGGTTAAAGTCCTCGCCTTGAATGTGCTGGGATCCCATATAGGCACTGGTTCTAATCCTGGCAGCTCCACTTCCTGTCCAGCTCCGTGTTTGTGGCCTGGGAAAGCAGTCAAGGACGGTCCAAAGCTTTTGGTCCCTGCACCTGTGTGGGAGTCCTGGAAGAGGCTCCTGGCTTTGCATTGGCACAGCTCCAGCCATTGTGGCTGCTTGGGGAGTGAACCATCAGTTGGAAGATCTTCCTCTCTGTCTCTCCTCCTCTCTGTGTATCTGACTTTCCAATAAAAAAGAAAAATCTTAAAAAAAAGGAAGAAAAGAAAAAACTCTCTCTCTCTCTTTCTCTCTCTCTCTCTCTCACACACACATTTACACACACTTCCTCTTTTTCAGTGACTTTCCTTCAAATAGATTTCTTTTAAAATAAAGAAACTTGCCATCAATGAAAAAGACATGCACACGTTAAATCAAGTTGAAGATTGACAGGACATTGTTTCAAAAGCTCTCTGCCAGCACATGGAGCAAGGTGTGGCTAACACAAAGTAAGGAGAAAATACCAAAAGGATCAGATACAGCCCCCCCCCGCCCCCGTTTCCCCTGGGTGCTGCTCCTTAGGCGGGGCTGAAGCCACTTTGACCAGCTGACCTTGAGAATGTCCTAATAATCCTAATTGTTGATTGACACATGCGAATGAAACATGGCTAAGCAGATACCTACATAGAGCAGCTTCCATTGTTTCCTAGGCTGGCTTCTTACCTGAAAGTCCTTGCTCTCCTAATAAAGCGAAGTCAGTTAAACTTGCAGAGCACAAGAAAAATGATGGTGTCTGTTCCAAATCGTCATTTATGCTCTTTCACATCTTGGAAATGATTAATTTTACATGCAAGCTCCAAATTCTCTCACTTCATAATAGTAATCAGAAACAAGGATGCTGATTAGCTAGCTCTTCATCTCTCCTTAGGTCGTGAGAACTTGATTTCTTAGGGTTTGGAAAAGTATTAACACCAATTAATACCTGCTCCAGTTTGCAGCAGAATATATTTTATTTAGCTCATGCCACAGTCAAAAGTGCAGGCTAACAAGCCTGGCCTGGATGAGGCCATGGTGGGGTTTTGGAGACTCAGAGAAAACCCCATTGCTTCATCCTGAGTCAGGATGTGCCTGCGGAGAACCCAGCATGGAGCTTGAGCAGAGTTCAGTGTGCTCTCCATGGTGATGCCTCTCCCTGACCCAGATTTAACGTGCCCTTTGTGGGCCCCATGGCTTTGCACTCCTGCCTGCAACATGACCACAACTGCATTTGACAAGTAAGACAGGAGGTGGAGGAGGTGAGGCAGGAAGTGGCCGTGATAGGCAGGATGCTTACCTTGTTTAGCACAAGTGAATTCACAACAGTTCCACTTGCTGCCTATTTCTTGAAGTTGCAGAATTTATAGGAAACAAAGAATGTATGCTGTGACATGCTGAGTTGTGCAAAACAGCTGTTCCTCTTTGCTCTGGTAAGGTTTAATTTAGAACAGTTACCATGTAGCATGTAGTTGAGACCACTTTATTTTGGGGAGGATCAGAGTGGAGTAAATACAGAATGAATGTCACATTGAAACCAAAAAGGAGAAATAAAGGCAGCAGCAGATTGTACAAAAAAGTCCCAGAGAGGGGAAATTATTGAAGTCTGTCTGAAGATTAGTTCAGCCTTTTCATTCTTTGCCTATGTCCAATCTCCTACCTGAGCTTTTCTGCCATCATTACTATCACAAAATATGCAAGCCCACAGGGAGACTTTCTGGACTTTGAGGGAATGTAGCCAAGGAAGTCAAGGCAAGCTGGCAATGAAAGGGTCAGATGTGGCCTGAGAGCCGCAGAAATCCCCGTGAGCAAAGTGTGCACCTTTGCCTGTTAGTTCATTGGCTCTTCTGTGCCAGGTGGCAACAACGCCAGTATCAGTATCTACACATTATTCTGAATCCCACATAGACAGTAACATTGAGCAAAGGTGGTTTAGATTAGCATTCCCCTCCCTCACACCCGACTATCAAGCTCAGAGTCCTAAGGCTGGTCTCTCTGTTCCTTGTGGCTGCTTTGGGGAATGCTGTTCTGAGCATCAACATGGTTTATAACTACGCTCATCCAGTGTCATAGTAGTACTGTGGGAATGTGGCCTGGGGCTCATGGTCAACATTGTTTGTAACTACATCCACCCAGCATCACAACAGTACTCGGTACATGGGCTAGGGTACGTGCTCAGCGTGGTTTGTAACTACATCCACCCAGAGTCACAGCAGTACTTGGTACATGAGTGGCGTTTACGCTCAACGTGGTTTGTGACTCTGTTCACCCTTCACCACAGCAGTACTTTGGGGACATGGGCTCAGGTTCATGCTTTGTTCTTTGTTAGTCAAAAATAAAGTTATTAGAAGGCTATGTTCTTCTCCCTCTAGGAGAGGATATTTTTACTCTTCCTAGTTACAGGTGATTATTAGATTTGGGTTTTTTTGACCTATGGATTCATCACTCCAAACTCTGTGTCTTGGCATTTTCATGGGATTAAGCCCTATCCCAAAAACATTGTCTTGACTTGATTATAGTACAGATTGTTATTCCAAACAAGATCACATTCTCAAATACTACGAAAAAATATTCCATAGGTGTAATTCAACAAAGCTTGTGTAATAAGAAAGAAATGGCATGTGACATGTTTCTTTTCCTTTTTCTGTTGTGTGTGGCATGTTTAATTTGCATGTAAACATCCTCAATCTCTTCTTTCCAATCCCAGTTGCAGTTAATAAATTAATTTAAGCAATGGTTGCATATAGCTCTATTAGGAACACGACCATTGCCGTGGGCTTAGAGTTGGTGTCTTCTGACCTGTTATTCAATCGTTTTTACAAACTTTCTAGACCTTTCTTTCTAGGTGAGTCTTTTTTTTTTTTTTTTTTTGGCTTCTTCTTTGGAAACAACACAATTTTTTGGTGGAGTTCTGACGATCTAAAATTCAGTCATAGTTTCTGTTCATGCCATTTTGTATCTTAGAAAGAATGAAGGAGATATCAACATAAAGGTTAGTGTCTTGAACATAGCAGACTCTCAACAATTTCTGGTCATATTCTGTCTTAATAGTTTAGGCTGCTGGAAAAAAAAAAAAAAAGGTCCCATGAGGTGGGTTTGCCTCTGCAGAGTGCCTCGTGTACGGCATGAGTACTGAAAACAGTACTCTCCCCTGCTGCGGAAACAAAGTATGCTTAATTCTTCACAGCAAGGTTTTCAGGCAGGCACTGGAAGAAAGCAGAAACTCATTTGATACTATTGTTTCTATCTCATGTTACTGTTCCTGTAATGTGTTATTAAGTAAAGCCTTGCATTTGTCTAATATTGTAGTGACACAGAAAAAGCTCTGAGTGTGCTTGCTCTCTCAGATATACATGATATATAAAATTGTAGTATATTCATGGTCATGGTCAAGAGCCAAATGGAACATGATCACTGGTGTGAATTCTGAGAACTTGCCTTCAGTGTTTCCAGAACAGGGGGTTAAATCACTCTGAGAACATCTTCATCCCGTACGGAAGTGACTGGTGGGAGTCCTGGCCTCTCCGCTTTTGATCCAGCTTCCTGATAACATGATCCTGGGGAGGCAGCAGTGAATTGCTCAAGTGCACGTGTCCCTGACTCCTAGATGGGAGATTAGGGATGAGTTCCTGTCTCTTGGTTTACCCTGGCCCTGCCCTGGCTGCGGTGAGCATGTTGGGAAGTGAAACCAGCAGATGGGAGGTGTCTTTTCATCAGCATGAAAGTAAACAAAAAACATTTCCAGACAAGACTGAAATCCCTCAATAGATAAACCCAGGAAAATAGATTCCTACAGAGTCTGAGGTAGAAAAATTTGGGACAGGTAGGAAGATTAGGAAGGAGGGTTTATTCTCCAGGTTCATCTTCACCTGTTAAGTCATACATGTCTGCAAACCTGGGATAACCTCATGCACAATCTCCAGAAGCTCTGTGGTCATTGCTGTGAATATCCCAGGCTTCAGTGTCCCCTTATACAGTGTTGTTTCCTAGTATATTAGATTCTTTTGGTTTTGTGCCTCAGTACTCTTAATCTACCAATGAGTAAGCTGATGTCTTCCAGAAAGACTACAGTAAAAAAAGCTGAGTGTACAGTACACTCAGTTCTATGCTGGGAAACACCAGGTTCAGTGCCCATGTTCACTCTTCCCCCGACCACTCTCAGCATCCTCCACCAGGAAGGATGACCAGGTGCTGTGCTTTGCTTTCTGCACAATATTTGGGTCACTTAATCAGGTCCACTGGATTCATCACCCTCACTCTGAGATTTAACTTTGGAAACTTTGACGTTATTTCAGGCATGTGGATATAGTTTTCAACTTGGGAAATTTGCAGCAGCTACCTAGCAAAGGGACACTACTTCTTTTTCTTTAAAGGCAAATGTTGTCTCCACTGGCTCCACCCAATCTGAGCTTCCTGAAAGTAGAAGTTTAATGAGTGCGATCTCTTGCCTCACAGTCACAGCAAAGGGAGCAGCTATATCAACCTGTTAGAAGAAAACTGAGAACGCATCAACTGGTTCAACAACAGGTGAGCCTGTCTGAGTAGAGGATCCCAAGTGACAGACTAATAAGAGACAGTAGGAAGCAAGGCACTTGATTGGGGTGGATTTGGGTTTGACATAGGGAAGTGTACTGTGCCAACAGGTACTGTGTCACACAGAGGATACTTCCAAAGTGATAAAGATTGGGTGAAGGGGAGACAGTAAAAAATGTTTTGTCATGATGTCGGTGCATCTCATATTTAACAGTACTTTTGTGGAACAGGGCACCTTCCATCAAATCCCTGTGGTCACAGACACAAAGCATTTCTGGGCAATCTTACTGGAAATGTTGGTGATTCCAAGGCAAACTTTTAGAACTGGAAAATGATTGTGGGACATCTGCCTAAATTGCTTACTGCAGAGGAAAATCAGTCGTTGAATTTGGTGACTCTCTGTGGGTTATCCAGGCCACTAATGAGAGAAAACAATAGAATTCAGGCAGTTCTGAATTTCAACACTCAGCAGACAGGAACTGTGTCCCTAACAGCACAGCTTATGGAGAACTAGTTACACCCCAAACCTTGCTATCTTCCATAACTCCTCTTCCTCAGGGTGTAAGAAGTAGTATAATCCAATAAATGCCAACAGTGTAATGTGACTCCCTCATTTGCATTTAGTAAATGTTGTGTGTGTGTGTGTGCTAATGGTATTCATAACAGCCACCTTTGACTCTGCGTGCACTTATCTTTGTTCTTTTTTTTTTTCATTTTTTCTTTATTTTTGACAATCTTTACACAGTTAGGGCACAAAGATTCAAGGGCTACAGGAAATTGGGTAAGACTATTATTTCCACATTGTTTTTTTTCCTGTATCTGGGGTAAAGGGGGAGATAAATGGAGGAGCCCCAACCGTCTCCCCCACCCATCCCAGGTTGTGCTTTTCTTTATGCCACACCTGTAGAAGCCCTTCTGAAGGCCTCACTACAATCACGCACAACTGACTTTATTGTCCCTTTTCATTACAGAGGAGCTGACGCTCGAGGAGCTTCGGGCATGTTTCAGAACTGCTCGGTGTGGGCAACAGTTCAGGCTGGCCACATCTGAAACCCATGCTTTTCTTACTGCTCAGCCTTTCTCTGGCTGGAGATACTCAGGGTCTTTCAAGAACATTCTGGAAAACTTTTAATGATTTTTTTTTTCTTACGGTGCCTTTCAACTTTGTCAGTGGTTAAAATGTCAGCCTAGATATGTGAGGTTCTCCTCCTTGCCAGGCCTGTCATATGCCTGCCCCAGTTCCTTTTCTGGATGCTGCCTCAGATCTCACTTGATCAGATGTAGAATGACATTTATATTCCTGAGAGACGAATCCTATTGGGGTAGTTAAGACTGAGTGGTTACAACAGAGTGTTAGTGAGTTGAGTTGACATCAAATGTTTGATTCAGTAACCATTTAAACAGTGACAATTTTCTAGAAAATTCTAACAAATTTAAACGGTTGCAGGGATACTTTATCAAACAGAATTAGGCTGAGTTAATTGTTCTGGTATGTAAAATCATTTATCACAATCTTATAGTCCCAGTGTCCTGAGTTAATTCACATTTTTGCTTTAACGACAGAGACCATGATGTCTGTCTGGCTGGTAGGACAAGGCTGTTATCATTGTTTTCCTTTCCCTTCACCACCCAGATTGACTTTGCTTTTTTATCCATCTACATGAACTTCATAGTCAGCATGTTTTCCTACAAATAAGTAAAAAGTCATGACCAAAGTTTTAAAATTTATAAATTCATGCAAAAGAGGTATGTATTAATTCCTATTTTAAGAAATGTTCCTAATAAATTGAATTTTAGAGCCAACTAAGGATGATTTTGATTTTCGTTAAGCCTCTTATTAATGTTTTCATATTCTGTGTTGTTATAACCCATTATATTTTATTGAATCACCATGGTAGTTCTGAAATAAATGATACCTAATTAGAATGTAGTATTTTGGGGGGATCTAATAATTATGTTTTTTTTTTCTACTAATACTTAAATGAGACACCAGTGTAACTTGCTTTATTGATAAAATCTTTATCAGCTTTTGAAATCAATATTATATTTGTTTCATGGAAAAAAATGTAGTGTTCTGCTACTTGCGTGGTGGTTTAACAGGCTATTCTTGTGCCTGCAGAACCAGCAGCCTATATGGGTGCAGTTTCATGTCCTGGGTGCTCCACTTCAATCCAGCTCCCTGCTTATGGTCTGGGAAAGCAGTGGAGGACAGCTCGAGTAATGGGCCCCTGAACCCATGTTGGAGATTGAAAGAAGCTCTTGGCTCGCACTTCAGATCAGCTGAGATCTGACCATTGTGGCCATTTGGGGACTGAACCAGTACAATGTATCTCTGTCCCTTTCCTTGTGCAAAACTAAATTTCAGATAAAACAAATAAATTACTAAGATTCAAAAAAAAAAAAAACCTCCACAAAATATAAGAATGTACTTTTCCTTAGTTTTGTAGAGTCAGAAATGTTTAAATACCATGGATTTTCTATTTAGAACTAATAAGATCTCTGGACCTGGTACTTTCACAACTCTCCCCAACTCTTCTATGGAAATTGGATTGTGTTATCTTTGAGTTTCCATTGAGATGAGTCTGTGTATAAGATATTACAAGCGTTTAGCCAGATGAGGTAGAAAAGAAGGATGGGAATATTTTCTACTCATTTAGTTTGACCTTTCTTCCCTCCCTTCTTCTCTGTCTGCACATAGGTGCCTGAGCTAACAAACAAACATCTTCACAAAGACATGGATGATTTTCAAAAGAACGCAATGAGAATCGTTCTGGTGGGGAAGACAGGAAGTGGAAAAAGTGCAACAGCAAACACGATCCTTGGAAAGGAACTCTTTAAATCTGGAATAAGTGCCCAGTCTCTTACCAACAGCTGCCAAAAAGCATTCACGGCCTGGAAAGGGAGGAAACTCCTTATTGTAGACACCCCAGGGTTCTTTGACACCGAGGAAAAACTGGATAAAACCTGCCGGGAAATCAGCAAGTGTGTCCTCTTCTCCTGCCCAGGGCCTCATGCCATTGTCCTGGTTATGCAGCTGGGCCGCTACACAGAAGAAGAACAGAAAACGGTCGCGCTGATAAAGACTCTCTTTGGAAAGTCAGCAATGAAGCACATGGTCGTCTTGTACACTCGCCAAGAAGAGCTGGAGAACCGTAGCCTTGATGACTTTTTAGCAAAGGCAGATGTGAACCTAAAATGCCTCATCCAGGAGTGTGGGAACCGCTGTTATGCCATCAGCAACAGAGCAGCGGAGGCTGAGAAGCAAGCTCAAGTGCAGGGGCTGATGGAGCTGATAGAGAAGATGGTGCAGGAAAATGAAGGGAAGTATTTTTCTGAGAAGATATATGAGGACATAGAGGAAAAACTGCAAAAAAAGGAGGAATATTTAAAGAAAACATATGCTGATCAGTTACAGAGTGAAATTAAGTTTATAGAAAATGATCCTAGTCTTAAATCAAAGGAAGAAAAAGCTGAGAAAATAGAAAAGGCAAAGATGAGATATGATGAAAAAATTAAGAATATCAAAGAAGAAGTTGAGGAAAGTATATTTCAATATATCTTCAGTCTGATTAAGCAGTTCCTTCAGAACATATGGTCAAAATTTTGGCAGTAAAATGAATGCAATCATTGCCTTTTATTTACTTTGATATGTTAATGTGATGGATTGTATTTTCCGAAATTTTTATGATAATATCTCCCTTACACAAGACTTATTATGGTGAAATTGAAAAACAAACATTATGTCTACTTAAGTTTCAAAATATAATGTGTATGCCTACAGTATGAAATGATTAAATAAAAAGTTACTATATCATTGACTTTACATAGTATGGGGTTTTTTTTTCCCTAGCAGTGAGAAAATGTAAGAATCAGTTTCTCTGAAAATGTCCAAAGGACAATCAGTGCAACACAGGATTTGTAACTAACCTGAGCTAACATGTACCTTGGCTCATCAATGCTCACTCTTCCTGCATAAGCAAATCTTTGTTCCCATTGAACAATACACACCCCTTCTCTCATCCCCTCAGTCTCTGGACACATTCAATTACATTTATGTATAATTTATATGATTATACATATAATTATATAGCTATACATATAACTATAAATAATTAAATTTTATTTTATAATTTATGTCTTACATGCTTTATAATTTTATAAAATATAAATATGTAAGATATGTTTTATAACATACAATGATATATTATATAATTGTGCATGATATATAATATATATAACTTTATGAATCATCTAATTCTATATAAAAATGATTATGTCGTTTATGTCCTTCTGTACTTAGGTTATTTCCTTTAGTATAACATATTCATAGCTTACCCATAGTTTTGTAAATGACAGGATTTCCTGTTTTTCAAAGTCTGAACACTCTTTTGTACACATGAGTTTATATACCACATTTCTTTCATCCACTCACTTGCTCATGGATTCTTGGGTTATTTATACATCTTCGCTACTGTGGATACTGAAATGGATATGGGAGTGCAGATATCTCTTTGAGGTAATACATTTATTACTCATGGTTGTTATCTTTATCCATTAAGCTTCTAAACAAAATACAGTGGACTTATGGGACTTATCAATTACTCACTTGCTTCTCAGATATGCAGACTGTAAGTCTGTTGGCAGTTAGTTTGGGCATAACATTTCTTTCTAAGTTCTTGCCCCTTTGTTAAAAGGCATTTTAAGTATAAGTACAAACATGGCTTACAAAGCGAGACAGGTAGGAAATCACACACATGGGTCATACTTAGGAAAGAAGTGGGTGAGGAAGAGAAAGGGTTAAAAGAGGTGCTCTCTGCCTTCTCCATGTTTCCAGAGAGAGAAAGAGTGAGAGAGAGCCAGAGAGACCCCTTCCTTGTAAGGGCTCCTATGGGGTCTGAAAGGAGAGTGGCTCCATGTCACCACCCCTCAGGGCCCAGGCAAGGAGTGGTATCCTCTGACAAGGAGTCATTTGACTTGCAGGTGGATAGAAGGGATAAACCAAAGGCTGGGGAAGTGTGGCTTCCATCTTGTGGTCCTAAGCTAGTGACCTATCAATTCCATATCAGGTCCACTGTCGAAGTTCCAGAAGGCTCGCTACCTGGGAAGGTCTCTTCCTTATAGACATCCATCTCTTACTCTGATCTCAGCAGAAGCAACAAGGAGTTTCTGTTGGAGCACATTTTTATAAACAAACTAATCTTCTTCACAAGGTTTCTGCCTCTTTATTTAATTGCTTCATAAGCCTCCCCTCCTGAGAACATCATCGTGGGAGAATTTCAACCTATGAATTGGGTTAAGGGGAGATAAATATTCAGACCATCGCATAGCTCCTGATGCTCCAAAATCCTCGTCCTTTGTCACAACAGGATGTATCCATTCTATTCCAATAATCCCTAAGATTTTATCTTATTCTAGCACGAAATTCAAAATCCAAATCTAAAGTCTCATCTATTTTTTTCTAAATCAAATATGGATGAAATCCAAGTTATAATTCACTGTGTGGTAAATTGCCCTCTAATAGTGAATCTGTGAACATAAATATGTCACACATATCCATAATATAATGCTGAGACAGGCATAGGACAGAAAGTCATATTCCCAAGGGGAAATTGAAAGGAAAGTCTGAGGCTCAAGAACAATTTTTGGTTGCATGCTCTGTGCTCCAAGACCGCTGGCTTAGAAGTCCTCATTTTGGATCCTGTCTCATGGCAGTAGTACTTCCGGATCATTTCTTGTCTTACAACTTTGCAAGTCTCTGCCACCACAGTCTTTTTGTGTCCAAATTCTCAATAAAATCTTCCAGAGCTGTAGCTGGAGCAACTCAGAAGCACAGCAATGAAGCATGGGAACACAGTCTGTAATATAAGGCAGCCTTCCTTGTTCTGTTCCTCCAGAGGTAGCACTTTGGGGTTACAAATGCAGGGTCTGTCCCTACGGTCTCTGAAATGTTCTTGGGGTCATTTTTTCCAAAGTCAGACCATGGAATGGGCTAACCATCTCATTGTCTTGATAGCATCTGGATGCCACTGAGTGCCCGCCCTACATTAGTCTCCCTAGGAAATGGTAATTTGGCCATATCCTTCTTCTCACCTTTCTCATATTTTCAAATACAGATAAGCTGAGATTTTTTTGTTGGAAAGTTTTACGCTTTATTTCCTTTTTAAACTAAAAATTCATAGTCAGAGAATTTATTTTAAAATTTATTATTTTATTTACTTATTTACTTGACAGGTAGAGAAGGGGTGGAGAAGAGAGAGAGAGAGAGAGAGAGAGAGAGAGAGAGAGAGAGAGCCAGCACTCATTCTCTGTTCTCTTTCCAAATGGCTACAATGATCTCAGACCAGAATGCTGGCCAAAACTGGAATCTGGGAGCTGTGTCCAGGTGTCCAACATGGGTGGCAGGAACCCAGTCATTTCCCAAGGTCAGCACTGACAGCAAGCTGTGTTCAGGAGCTTCAGCTGGGTATCCTGCCAGTACTCTGATAGGTGTGAGAGGCGTCTTACCTGCCTCTTATAGGCAGTGAAAAGGGAAGCAGCACCTCCAACATTTCGTTTAGATGTTCCTTCAACCAATAGCCGATTTCATTGCTCACACGTTACCTTCACAAAACACTAGAATATGGGCACAATTCAGCCAAGTTCTCTGCCACTTCACGGTAAGAAGAGCCCTTGTTCCGTTGCCCAATCACATGCTCCTCATTCGTATCTGGGACTTCAACAGAATCACCTTCGTTCTTCACATTTCCATCAATATTCGTCCCCTGTCTGTGACTTCTTAGGTATAAGAATGAAGCTTTCGCTGTAGGATTAATCTTTTCTTTCTGAGCCTTTACCAGAATACTCAATAAATATTGCAAAGAGAGAAAAGAAGGGCTTGGAGAAGGTTGTCAACTGTCTCAGTTCAGCCAGAGGCTTCTTTTTCGGAAACTTGGGTCTTTCTCTGGCAGACCCCCCCCCCCGGAGACCCAGCTTGGTCTGGTCAGGAGACCCAGATCCCTCTGGGCCCCCCACCCTGGGGATCACAGGTTCAACACCCACTATGCAAGTAGGCTTGGTGACCTGGCCAGGATACCCAGACCCCTCTGGGCCCCACACCCTGGGGCTCATGGATCTAGCACCCACCACATAGGGCAGGCCCAAGGCCCTGAATCATATGATTTGAGATCTGCCAGATCCTCCACCTCAAAGCTCATGGACTCAATCCCCATCACACTGGTGGGTCCAATGACCTCCCACTGGTGAGCAAGTGATTTGGGCCTGGGTGTCGATCACACCAGACAAGCCTTCTCCACTTGTTCTGTGTAAAAGCCAGGGATGGGGGCAGGCTGGGCAGGGCTAAGCTATAGCAAGAATTGGAACTGGAGGTGGGCTGGACCAGACCAAGTTGAAACATCCCATGGCAAAGGCTAAGATGGAGGGTGAGGGTGGCTATGCCAAGCTGGGTTGGAGCAACCATTGGCATGCACTAGATGTGTGGCTGGGAGCCAGCCTGGTGGGGAGCTAAGATGATGTCCTGGTTGGGCTGTGGTTCCCACTGGTGAGCACAAGAATTCAAATGGGGGCACTAAATTGGGCTAAACATAACTGTAGTATCCATCGCCATGGGTGTGGACAGGGTCTGGGGTGTGCCAGATTGGGTTAGGCTCCAGCACTCCCCGGTGCTCGTGAGAACCAGGGTGGGTATAGGACTGCTGGGTCTGGATGGATCAGGCTGGCTGGGCTGTGCACCCCACAGTAGGAACTGGAATGGATATAGGATGGTCAGGCAAGGCCATTGTATCTGCCAGGACAGGAGGTAGGCAAAGCCAGGTTGAGCCAACAATCTACTGGTGTATGTGAGATCTGTGACTGGGAGATGACCTAACAGAGGAACTTAGAGAACTCCTCTGTTAGGATAAAGTCCCTGAAAGTTAGTGTAAGAACCAAGACTGGCAGCAGCCCAGCACATGCCAGGTTTCAGTATCCACTGGCATACGTGTGGGGTCAGGTCTGGGGCAGGCCAGGCTGGGCCAGTTCATAGCACCCACTGACAGACGTGAGAACCAGGACAGGGTACAGGCCAGGCCAGATTGGGCCACAATGGCAGCCGGTTCAAATTAGGGCTAGGACCAGGGGCTGGGTAGGCTTGGCTAGGTGATTACCCCCACAACATGAACTGGACCTGGGTGCAGGCCAGCCAGAGTACAGCATGACAGACAGGGCCCTGAACCCCTCAGCACACCTAAGAGCAAGGATGGGTGATCCCAGTAAGGGGGGGGGGCTGGAGGGGGTTCCCTGCTAGACCACTATTTCCACTGGTGAGTGTGAAAACTGGGTCAGAGGCAGACCAGGCCTGGCAGGGCTACAAAACCCCTTGGTCTGCATATGTGCTGGATTAGGGGGAAACCCAGGCTGGGCTAAGCAGCCGTATCCACTGGTGCATGCATGAGCCAGAGTAAGTGCAGGCTGGTAGGGCTTTGCCACAACATCAGCTGGCAAGTGCTAGGAATGGGGGCAAGTCCTGTCAGGTTAGGTTGCAGAACCACCTGTAAAGTGCAAGATCTAGGACTGAGAGGCTCCCAGTGGGGGCACCTGTGATGGGCTGTAGCTCCTACCATTGAACATGAGAATCAGGGCTGGAGGTGGACCTGGTTGGTCAGGTAGTAGCACCTGCCAGCATAAGTATGAGCTGTACAGTGGGGTCAGTCAGGCTGAACTATGCTACAGCACCCATTGGTGGGTACAAAGCTAAATGGTATGTAGGTCAGACTGGACCAGTCTGTTACACATGCTGACATGTACAGAAACCATGGCTGGGGCCAGGATCGGTGGGGGATTTTGGGGGTTAGTCCAACTGGGCTATAATTCCTGTTGGTGCATATCACATGAAGGTTGAATGTGTGGTGGGCAGGGTTGAACTGGACTGCAGCATCCATTGGTTGGTGTAAGAGATGGGTCTGGGGACAGAACTGACCCAAGAACTGCAACCATGAGTGTGTGTGTGTGTGTGTGTGTGTGTGTGTGTGTGTGTGTAGGTTGATATGGTTGATGGACTGAGCCAGACCCTATACTGGCTGGCACACACAGGAGTCAGGTTTGGGGTCAACTCTGGTGAGGTTTCTTTGGCGATCTTGTCCTACAACTGGACTGCTGGACTCAGAATTCCAAGCACGAGGAAAATCGCAAGACCTGTGGTCTGACACAGAATGCATGTATCAGAATGGTTCTCTTCATTTGCTAAAGCCTGAGCAGTGGACTGCATGCCCAGTTGAGCATAAAAGACCTGATAGTTTATTGGAGCCTGCAGAGGACATCTAGTAGCATAGCAGAGGAAGGAGGGCAGAACAAATGGGAAAAGTATCTGTGCGAATGGAGACTCTAAGGTGGATTATGCCAGCAAATGGACCTTGGAAGGAATTCCTCATCCTTGGAACAACGAAGTCAATAGCATTTCAGAACTACCAAAACCCTCAGAGCATACTCCACATTGGGGAACATGAGATGATATTGGGTGGCTGTCCCTCATCCCAGGGTACTGGTATGGTTAGGATGCTGGGTACAGCTTCTCTCCTTCTTCCCCCACCCCCTGCAAATAAAGAAGGAATAAAAAGAAAATTGGAAACAGTAGTCTAATTCACTTTCGCCCATTCCCTCACCCTTCCCACCCTAATCAGTGGTCCACATGGCTTGCATATTTCTCAACTATGTACAAGCCATCAAAAATGTTGTTTTAATGAAAAAATGGGTGTAAGAGTGACATTCTGGGATTCAATCTTTGTGTATAGCCTTTGCTTGGAATAGTAAGTTTTCTTTGCTTTGTATTGTTTTGCCTTCTTCTGGTTTTGTTTGGGTTTGATGTCTTTGTTATTTGTTATTATTACTGTTTTCTGTTTCTCTAGGTGCTGATCTATTTACCCGTGTTAAACTTGTGACTGTGAAGTGAAATGGAAGTATTTTATTGCAAAAACTAGGAAGAAAAGAAATGAGGAAGTAGGAAGGTAGGTGGGGAAGGAGCCCAGGGAGTTATTAGGATAGGAATTATCCAGAAACTCCAAAATCTATATTTGGATATATGTGAAATTTGTTCACTGCGTGTAAGTAAGGAAATACATAAATAGATACTTAGTTAATTAATTATTTTTGTACTGAGGAATTTCCCAGGTCCTCACAGATGAGGACAGGAAGTAAAGGAGCTGTGTGGACAAAGTGCACTGTACTTGCACCTATACTGAGGTTTTCACAGAAGACCTGTGGGAAACGCTTGACCTTTCTTAGAGATCACTATTTGGCCGCTTAAAAATAAACTCCATTTTGGCAGAAACTCAATCTAAGGAACAGCCACAGCTGAGACCAAATTTGAAAGTGTGTGCATGACCAAACAAAAAGGAAGCTACAAATTAGCAACATGTTTTCCTTTGTGGCTATGAACTCTGAAGAAGATTCTGGCAGAGAAGCCCAGAGATGCTCTGGGTGCTGAACCTCAGGGAGGTTGAAGGAGACATTCCTGATGGTCAGTAACCACTTGCCAAAGTGCTGCACACACAGCCAAGAGAGCAAAACACTGCTGCGGAATGATTAGTTGAGTATGTGTGTACAATTGTATCATCTCTGGTATGCTTTTTAAAAACAACATCACTATTATATAAACCCATGTTTATAAACAAACACTAAGAAGTTGAGTAAATAGGACAGGTTCTCTCATGAGATTGACTTGAAGCCTCAGAGGACATGTAACAATATTTGAAGACATGCTTTGTTAGCAAATAGAGGCCAAGGACACTGATAAAATGGTATAACTCCTAGGTCCTTAAGTCTACCCCTACACTACCCTCTATCCTCTCATATTGGTAAAACTCATCCTACCAAGAGGGTGGTTCTCTGCGATGGAAACATCTCTGAAAAACAGATAATAGGTACCCAATGGAAATCTGTGGGACCAAGGAGGATTGCATGCAAGGATGAGGCTCTAGTCTAGTAGTAGCAATGTAGTAGAAAAGTAGAGATAATAGCTTAACATTCACTATTTTTTATTTCTTGTAACAGACCCTAGAAACACAGGCAATAAAGACAAAAATAGACAAATAAGATTGCATTCAGCTAAGAAGTTTCTGCACCAAAAAGGAAATAGTCAACATAGTAAAGAACGACCAACACAATGGCAGAAAATATTTGCAAACTATGCAACTGATAAAGAATTAAAATCCAACATCCATAAAGATCTCAAGAAACTAAACAACAGCAAAAACAAATAATACAATTAAAAAATGGCTAAAGTATATGAATGGGCATTTTTCAAACAAAGGAATTAAAAAATATAAACAAATCTTTCAAAGAATAAAGAGGTCTTATTCTTTAAAAAACATATTTGTTCATTTTATTTGGAAAGGCAGATTTCCAGAGAGGAGAGACAGAGAGAAAGGTCCTCCTTCCATTGATTCACTTCCCAAATGATCACAATGGCTGAAGCTGAGCTGATCCAAAGCTAAGGGCCAGGAGCTTCTTCTGGATCTCCCATGTGGATACAGAATGCCAAGGCTTTGAGCCGTATTCTACTGCTTTCCTAGGCTACAAACAGGGAGCTGGATGGAACTGGAACAGCCAGAACATAAATGGACACCTATATGGGATGCTAACACTTATAATACAAGGATTTAGCTACTGGCCATTTCATCAGGTCCAACACAAAGAATTTTTACTCCACCCCAGGTACAATGGCTATCATTCGGAAATTGAAAACCAACAATTTTTGATAAACATGTTGCAGGAGGTGTAGGTGTCTTAATCCATTGCTTCTGAGAATCTCAAGTATAAAAACCATTATGGAAGACAGTATGAAGATGCCTCAGAATTATTAAAATTGATCAACCCTACAACCTGGCCATCCTACTCCTGTGATTTCATCCAAATGAAATGAAATCAGTATATCAAAGAGTTATTGGTGTCTCAATTTTTATTGAAGGTTTATTCACAAAACCAATGCAATCCATATGTGCATTAATGAATGACCAGGTAAAGAAAATGTAAAATATATACACTGTGGAAAGCTACTCAGCCATAAAAAAACAATGAAATCCTATCTTTTGCAACATAATAGATGCAACTGGAAACCTTTGTGCTTAATGAAGTAAGTCAGTCACCAAAAGACAAATATCAACTTTTTTCTAATTAATAATGGTCAGCATAGAATACCAAAAAGTGCACAGTGATAAGATGAATATCTTGTCATTTGATTGTTGTTTATAATTCTAACTTACATACTTGTGTAACTGTGTCTTTCTATTTTTTAATCATTGAATATCAGGCCAGTGAAAGGTTCAAAAAGCAAAAATGAAAGAAAAGAAGGAGGAGAATTGAGAGGAAGAAAAGAAGCTATGCTTTTTTTTACAGTCATATCTAGAAAATACATATTAATATTCTTATATTAATAAAAATGATCATAGTGTCCATTTTAAAGTTGAGTTATTTTCAGTTATCAATGATCATCCTTAACATTGCATATTATCTTCTTTACATTAGTAAATAACTTCTCTCAGTTTATTGACCTTTAGTATTTGACTTTAAAAAATTTTTTATTTTATTTTTATTGGAAAGTCAGATATACAGAGAGGAGGAGAGTCAGAGAGGAAGATCTTCTGTCTGTTGATCACTCCCCAAGTGGCCACAACGACTGGAGCTGAGCCAATCTGAAGCCAGGAGCCCAGAGTCTCTTCCTCCAGGTCTCCCATGCGAGTGCAGGGTGCCAAAGCTTTGGGCTGTCCTTGACTGTTTTCTCAGGCCACAAACAGGGAGCTGGATGGGAAATAGGGGCACCGGGATTAGAATTGGCACCCATATGGTATACCGGCCTGTGCAAGGTGAGGACTTTAATTGCTAGGGTACTGTGCTGGACCCTAGTATTTTATTTTATATTCTACTTCACTTGATTTTGCACTTACCTTTACTATTTCCTTCTACTAATTTTCTATTTGGTTGATCCTAGTTTTTTATTTTCTTGAATTTAACAATAGGTTTATTTGAGACTTTTCTGCTTTGCATGATATAGACACTGATAACTATAACGTATGATCTGTTTCACCAACTCAAGAAAGAGCCAAGACTATCCTTAAACATGCCACCCTGGAAACAGAGAAACACTCCCCTGCTCTACTGTTGGACCACCACAGACAGAAGGCATGCCCAAGGAGGATCCTGAACACAGCTCATAATCATGAGATCTTCTGGTACATTTCTTGTTTTCCCAAGCACCTGCAGTGCTTTCTGACCATCCTCCTGTGTACAAGCTAAGGGGCCCTGCACGCTAGCATTTCTTGGCTGTGACATGACCACAACTATATGTGATAAGTAAGGTAAAAGGTGAAGATATGATCAAGGAAATGGCTGTGGGTAGGGCAGGGAGGAAGTGATTACTGTGTAGAGCTACTTGTACAGTCAACAACCATCTTTTGATAATATCAGAGAGTTGTGGGATGTGAACTAACCTTTGGGTTAGACCATAGGCTTTCTGGGGAAGTGCTGTTAACACCATCCTCTGGTATGTTTAAACTGATAAGAACAGATACTACACTTGATCTTAGCCAAAAGGCCGAGAAGCGATTGGTATGTTTAACACATGAAACTTCATAAGTTTTCATTAATATTTGTATTTGTATTAGAAGGTCATAAAGGGTTTTTAAAATTTTCAGATTGTAAGCACAGAGAGGAGATGCGAAAAGCAAAAATACTGTTGAAAATCTGACTTCAACACAATTGAGAGCAGTTGGTTTTGTTGAACAGTGGTCTTTTTGTATCCCTTGCCCTGAAACAAGCACAACACTGAAGATTCTCCAGCCTTCCAGCCATGAAATCCATGGGAATCTTCTGTTTTCCTGCTTTTTAGCTTTTCTTTAATTTCCTTTCTTTTTTCCCCCTTAATGTCTTTCCCTTTGAAAGGTAGAGCGACAAAATGAGAAAGAGAAACAAAGACAGAGGTCTTTTTTTTCTTTTCTTTCTTTCTTCTTTCTCCCTCCTTCCATCCCTCCATCCCTCCCTCCCTCCCTCACTCCTTTCCTCTCTTCCTTCCAACCTTTCTTTTCTCATGTTTAATTCCTTGAAATTCAGAATGACAAAATAAGCAGAAGCAGAAACCAAAAGTGAGAGAGGTCTTCCTCTACTGGTTTACTTCCAAAACATCTGTGCTAGGCCAAGCTGAAGCCAGGAGCCAGGAACTCTGTCTTGCTTTCCCACATGTATGGGAGGAAATCAAATATGAGAGCTATCCTTTGCTGCCCCGAGGGGCATCAGTAAGAAGCCGAGTGAGAAAAAAAGAAACTAGGAACTTGAAACACACTCTGAAGCAGAATGTGGGTTGCTGACGTAGTGGCTTTTCACATTCATCATGAAACATGCCCTTGTCTTATCTTATACATTTTTATTAAAAATAATTGTCCATCACAGGGAATTGGAGTGCCCTTGTAGGCCAAGAACTCTGAGGTCATCCATTCCCTATCGGATCTCCCACACGAGATGAAAGAAGCCCAGATCCTTCCTCACACGATCTAATGTCATCGGAACAACAGTCAGAAGCCCTGAGCAGTCCTCAGAAACAGAACAGTAAACTTCCTTTGGGACTCGGGAGAGGAGCTTTCTCTGGTCCTTACTTTGGTCCAACTTTAGATCCCTACCCTCTCTTACAATGACCATCAAGGTCACTCCGGAGCCCCACCCTCTTCCCCCCAAAATTAGATCAGATAGACAGAGACCAATAAGGAAAGCTTAGAACAGACAGGAACCAATCAGCTTGGGCTCACATATACCTTACTAGGCAGAACACAAAGATTAGTACTCCTCACTAAGGTATTGAAGATTTCTCTGCACACCTCTCCTAAAACTGTTCTGTGCCCCAATCATTAACATATGCCTTGTTAGAGTTATAAGCTTGTTTGGACTATCCTAAAATTCACCAAGTTCAGTAAAAATCACGCTTCAACACTGTAAGCTGCTAAATATAAAAATGAAAATAGACACGAGACATCTGAATAGTACCCTATAACCATTTTAAGGTGCATAGCAGCTGATTGCGTATAAACTAAACTTGAAATGTCAATGACGTAGTCACAGGATGAGGTTAAGAACTTGCATTTTCTAACATATTGGTCACTCAATACCATGTCAATTAATTCCATGATGTTGTAAATTGTTGTTGTTGCGCTGTGGCTTTTCATCGGAGGGTATGATACTCTGCCAGCTCTACTTGCAGACCAGGGATGGTCTCCCAATGAAACTGCTGAACTTATCTGGACAATAAGATGCTGGACTCTATGCATGGTACATGCTCGCAATGAAGGAATCATGACTGGATATGAACTGTACTACTGCAACAAGGTGGAGGAATCCACCATGGGGGAGAGGGCATGGGGGGGGGGTTGGGAGAATCCCAGAGCCTATGAAACTGTGTCATCAAAGGAAATTAGAAAAAAAGAATAATTGTCCATATTTATGAGTTATAATACATTCCAACACATGTATTTCACTTCATACTGATCAAATCATTGTAACCAACATTTCCTCTTCTTTCACATTGTTATGATTGAAGTCCTCAAGTGCGTTTCTTTCATCCTGCCTGCCATTTCGAGATGAAGAAAGCCAAGGAGACTTACGAGGCACCATAAAGAGAACATCAGCATTTTGGGGAAACCTGAAGGAGAACAGGGGCAGAAGGTATTAAGAACTAGTTAATGAAACAATGGTGAAAAATTTCCCAAGCCTTTGAGGTGGCATGGACTTCATATGTGGAAAGTTCAAGCAAACCCATCCAACTGAAGAAGATCCCTGCAAAGAATATTCTGATGTGTCTTCTGGTATGTGGTAAGGGGAGGGGCCTTAAAGGAAAGGCTTTATCAGGATTGCCTATGCCTGAGCCTCACAGTATCATCTACTTCCTGAACTATGCTATATAATGAACAAGGCTGCCAAGTATACCCTCCAAAACTTCAGTGCAGAGGGCCACAGGGGCACCAGTCAGCATGCTGGCTATTCAACTTCTGACTGAGTTCCCTGCAAATGGTTTGGGAAAACACTGTAAAACAACCCAATTCTTGGGCCCCTGCACACATATAGGAGACCTGAAAGAAACTCCTGGCTCCTAAATTTAGACCGGTCTAGCTCTGTCTACAGCAGCTATTTGGGGAGTGAGCTAGAGACTGGAAGATTCTCTCTCTCTCTCTCATTAACTTTTAATTAAAATAAATAAGTGTATAAATATTTAAAGCAGTATATTTTATGAGCCTGAAGAACTAAAAAAGAATGCTTAATAAACAATAAAGAGACTTGGATGAGTTCAGGAATCCTAACACCAATCCACAGGACTGATCACTTGAGGTTTGTATAACTGTAGATGTCAAAGTGTGACAACAATAATATAAAATTCTGGAGGGTTAATGGGTGCATATGATTGGGAGGTTCTTTTACTATATGTAGACATGTTTAGCTGACATCGAATCTAAATAATACTTTCGGTAATATGGACATTTTGAGGGTGTTGATCCTGCTGACCCAGAGCATGGTGGGTTTCTTCATCTTTAAAAACTCCTTCTATTACTTTTTCAAAATGTTTTATTATTTTTATCATAGAGGTCTCCCAATCTTGGGTTAGATTAATTTCAAGGTATTTAAGATTTCTCTTCAGTATTTTAAAAAAGACTGTACTTACAAGTTCCTTCTCAGCCATGGAGCTATTTGTGCATACTAGCACCACCAGTTTACATACATTAAGTTTGTATCCCGCTGCGCTGTGAAATTCTCTCATGAATTCTTACAGTCTCTTGAATGAGTCTGTTGGTTCTCCTATATAGAGAATCATGTCATCTGGAAACAGGGATAATTTAATTCCTCATTTTGATTTTAATTTCTTTTTTTTTAAAAGATTTATTTTATTTTTACTGGAAAGGTGGATATACAGAGAAGAGAGACAGAGAGGAAGATCTTCCGTCCGATGATTCACTCCCCAAGTGAGCGCAACGGCCGATGCGATGCCGATCCAAAGCCAGGAGCCTCTTCTGGGTCTCCCACGCGGGTGCAGGTTCCCAAAGCCTTGGGCCATCCTCGACTGCTTTCTCAGGCCACAGGCAGGGAGCTGGAAGTGAAGCGGGGCTGCCAGGATTAGAACCAGTGCCCATATGGGATCCCGGGCGTGTAAGGCAAGGACCTTAACCACTTGCGCCACCGCACCGGGCCCTTGATTTTAATTTCTTTAATTCCTTTTTCTTGCCTAATAGCTCTAGCAAGGACTTCACATACTATACTGATGAGCAGTGGTAAAAGTGGACATCATGTCTAGTTCCAGATCTTAGTGGGAAGCATGCAGATTCAATATGATCCCAATAAAAATCCCAACACCATTCTTCTCAGAAGTAGAAAAGATGACACAAAAGCTCATCTAGGGAAATACAAATGAAAACTACATTCAGGTTCCACTTAACTCCTGTGAGTGTGGCTTTCCTAGCAGCACCTGCTGGTGCAAATGTGGGAACTACCCTCCTTCACTGCTGGTGGGAGGGTAGCTAGTAAAACTACTATGGGCGTCATTATGGAAAGTGCTAAGAGAACTGAGAATAAATCTGCCATATTATGCAGCTATCACACTTCTAGAAATATATCCCAAGGAAATAAAATCTGCGTATGAGAAAGGGATCTGTAGTCCTGTATTTATAGCAGCACAATCTACAATTGCAAAGTCATGGTAACAACACGATGCCTGTCGAAAGAGTAGTGGATAATGAAACCGTGCTACATGCACGCTGCGATATATTACCCAGCCATTCAAAAGAATGAAATCCTACCGTTTGCTACCAAGTGGTCCCACCTAGAGAAATTTTGCTCAGTGATATTGGTCAGTCACAAAAGGACAAATATCTATGTTCTCTCAGAGATAATGCAACCTTCATGCAAAATACACCAGTGGATATACAGGTAAACATTCATGTACATATATAGTCATCTAGATGGGCTGTAGAGACCATCATATCAAGATATGAAGATACGCTGCAGTATACAGCTCTACTTCCAAACCAAATAGGGATTCCTAATGAGACTGCTAAATATATTTTGACAACAGGATGCTGAACTCTTTGCCATTGTCCATAGCTAAAATGTCAGTATATACTTAAACAGTAGAATAATGGACTTACGACTGTTTTCTGAAGGACTATACTATTGTTTAAGATAGGATAAATCAGTCATGGGGAGGAGATTCAGGGAGATAGAAGGGGAAATCCTAGAACCTATGAAACTGTATTATAAAATTAAAAATAAAAAGTAACAGAAAAAAGAAAAATGCTATTAAAAAAGAATAAAAATAACCAACAAAAACCAAATAGATATATTACACCAATAAACAAGAAAAGCAAAACAATCAAAATTCAATATAAAAAGGAGAAATAGGAAAAAGAGAAAAAGAGAATATATAAAATGGATCAGGTAGAAAATAAATTTCAAGTTAGATTGTGGGATAATTGAGTAGTCTACTAATCAGATCAATTTATTTGATATTTTTAGACTATTCTGCCTAACAATAAAGTGCTACCATTTTATTTATATAATGTTTACTAACATAGATCATATTTTAGACAACAGAAATCTAAGTAAATATAAAATAATTTAAATAGTACAGAGTGTTCTTTGAATATAATGAAATTCAAATAGAACCACAGCACAAATATATTTGGAAAATTTCTCAACTGTTTTGGAGTCTAAAATATATGCTTCTAAATAAACTGTTGGTTAAAGAAGAAAACAATGGGTTAATTAAAGAAATTCATTCACAGTTAAATTTATTTCTTATCTCTCCTTGCAACTGTGAGTCATTTGTATGAATACTAAAGCAATGTAAGTGTAAGTTTGCAACACTTTCTGAAGTCTCAGACCGGAGATGTAATAAACTTTATGATGTTAGAATACTGGGTGTAGTAAAGAACTGGAACCACCAATATAATACTCTCATAATTCAATGAGAGGTGGCATTCATTTAATGTTATATTGAACTGTTCTAGTATCAGGTCCCAGGATGAATTGGGGTAAATCTTTGTCAGTCAAATGAAAGTTGGTTTTGTTTCCAGCACATGTTCCAGAGGACACATGTTCGAAACAGCAGTTCTGCTCTGTTCTTGTTTTATGGTATTGGAGGTAAGGAAAGGGGTGGATTAATTGCTTACATGAATACAAGCCTGAAGTGCAAGGAACAAACGTCAGCTGGGGGAGCCTATTGTGTTCAGCAGTGGGTTTGGTGATCCAGAGGTCTTTGAAAGTAGCTGACAGCTCTCTGGCTTGAACCTTGGAGCTTTTTCGAGAATTCCACAGCACAGTTCACACAGTCTATTGGTGTAGTCCAATATGTTACCAGCAGGCACATGCAGGAATTGAACTTCAAGTTTTCTAAAATAAAATAAAATTTAAAAATCAGCTCAACAATTGCATTTCAAGTGATCAGCAGCTATGTATGGCTCATGGCCCGTTCTACCCATCAGAGACCAATCCCATCTCTGCAGGAATTTCTGCTAGAGCTTCTGGGTAATAAGGTAGGAAGGTCCCTTGCATAAGCAAGTTTGAACAGTTCCTCCTTAGCTTTCTTTCTCTTCCTCCTTCTCAGCATCCTGTTTTAGCAGTGCCTGCAAAATCAGAGAGGGCCTCAGGACCCAGATTTTCAAGGTAAGGGAATAGAGATGTGTGTGTGTGACAGATGTCCAGTTTGGTGGGAAGGGGCTCTCTCCACTGGGTGCATGTTAAACCTCCTAGCAAACTTTCTCTCCTGTTGGTTCTTGTTTCCTGTCTTTGCTGAGTTCAGATTGTAATGTGCTTTGAATGTTGGGTTCTACACATTAATGTTTCTTTCAGAGGATATATATATATATACATATACATATATATGTATTTTAACAAATGAATCTTTTCACTGCTGTGTGACTTACACTCTGTGAGGTAGGGTGAGTGTAGTGAATTAGCTCAGGTGAATTGGTGGGAAGATGAACACTGGGATGACGGAATAGCTGAAACTAAGTGGGCAATCCACCTCCCGCCTCCCACCAAAAATGCTGGCACACAGGAAAGATAGGAGGCTCTTGTTAACTGTATGCCCCTAGGATAATGCTCCTCGTTGTGTCTCTCAGGGTATGGATGCCCTGGAGAGCAGGATGAGAAAGACTGTCCCGTGTTCAGTTCAGTAGAGGTCTGGAACTAGGAGTTGCTTGTTCTTTAGTCAGAGAAGAGCTCAGCCTCTTGAGGTCAGCACCTGCAGGAGCACAGTCTGGAGTGTGTGTCGGAATCAGGTTCTGCAGAGCAGCATCAAACATGTCTGTTGTTGTAATTCTCTTTCTATTTCTGATTTTATTGATTGGATCTTATATTTTTTTCTTGAAAAAGTTCTTTTTTTTCACAGATCTTATATGTCTTTTTTTGTTTAAATTTGTTTACTTCTCTTCAATTTTGTTATTTTTTTTCTTCCATTAACTTTGAATTTAGTTTGTTGTCTTTCTAAATTTTATAGATGCCTTTACAGATTATTTGATGGCTTTCTGACTTCTTGAAATAGACACTAACTTATGAACCTTGCTCCCAACACTGCTTTTGATCTATCCCATAAGTTTTGATATGTTATGCTGTTATCTTAATTTGTTTTCATTGAAAAGGCAGATTTACAGAGAGAAGAGATACATAAAAAGATCTTTCACATGGCTGGTTCACTTTACGAACTGAGCTGATCCAAAGCCAAAGCCAGTAGCTTCTTCTGGGTATCCCACATGAGTGCAGGGTCCCAAGGTCTTGAGCCATCCTCCACTGCTTTCTCAGGTCACAAACACAAACCGGCACCCATATGGAATCCTGCAGCTTGAAGGCGGAGGATTAGCTAGTTGAGCCATTGTGCCAGCCCCTGTTTCCAGAATTTTAAAAATTTTCCTTTTAATTTCTTCTATGAGCCACTTTTCATTCAGCATATTGATTAGTCTCCATGTTTTTATATATTTTCTATAGTTTCTTATATTGTTGATTTAAATTTGATATTTAAAATGGTCAGAACAGTTAATGGTGTGATTTCATTTTTTTAAACTTGCTGAGGTTTGCATAAAGGTCGAATATACGGTATTTCCTAGACTGAGCTCCATGTACTGATGAAAAGAATGTGCAATCTGCAATTGTGGGATGAAATATCTGGTAGAAATTAATTAGGTAATTTGATCCATAATCCATTTGTTGTTTCTTTTTTGATTTTTGGTCTATTTATCTATTTATCTGTCCATTAGGTGTTGAAGTCCCCTAATACAGTAATTTGTATTAAAGCCCGTATCTCTCTTTAGACACATTAACTATTGTTTCAAATATCCAGGTGTCCCAGACTGAGTAAATATACATTTGTTGAATTGTTCTAATTATTATATAATTTTATTTTAAGTCTCTTTTAATAGTTTTACGTTAAAGTATACATTGTGTGATATTAGTATCAGTAAAATAAATGAAAATTTGATTTTAAAACAATATCAATAGTAGAACAGTAAGCTTTTAAGGTTAAATGCAGTTAGGTGCTATAATAAAAATAAATGATTGGATTATTTAGCACATGCTTGAGACAAACGAATACTTTGGAGTTTTCTGAAAGTAGAATCAATAGGATTTGCTGATGTGCTAATGAGAGCAAGGGATGAAGAGTTCTAGAAGATGACCCCAAGATTCTCCTGCAGGAGTCAGTGGCTGGAGGACCACGTCATTTATTGAGGCAGGATCATGCCTGGAGGGGGAGATCGTGGGTTCAATTTGGGCCACACTCTGGAGATTCCCATAAAATGGCCAAATGGGAAAATTCAGTGAAAAACTCAGGTTTGGAGGGCTCTCTCTCTTAAGATTTATTTGATTTGATTTGAAAGATTTGCAGAGAGAAGGAGAGGCAGAAAGATCTTTGCTCTCCTGGTTCACTGCCCCAGAAGTTACAAAGGCCAGAGCTGGGTTGGTTCATAGCTGGGAGCCAGCAATTCCCTCCAGATCTCCTACATGAATGCAAGTGCCCAAGGACTCCACTGATTTCCCAAGCTCTAAGCAGGACACACACTAGCACCCATTTGGGATGCAGTGCTGAGGGCATAGGATTAGCCTGCCATGCCCAGTGCACCATCCTGGAAGTTTGGAGTTTTGAAGAGAATGTGAAGTAGAGATTATGCAGAAAGACATCAAAGCAGTGACAGACTTGCTGGGAAGGAAGAAAGAGGCAAGTCAGTGTTGAAGTAGCACTGAAGCATTTACATTTGTGTGAGGAGAAGGGAACTACCTGAAGTGACGCTGGAAAATAACTAAGGTTCATGAGATGTTTGAGGAAATGGCACAGGAAAAATCAAAGTTATCAGTTCAGAGCCAAAAAAAAAAAAAAATGCATAATGGCTATTGGAGGTTGGGATACTAGTCACTGCTGATTCCACAAGATAACATGGTTATGTATTTGTTCCCATCTACAGGAATTCAAGCTACGATGGCATCCCAATACCATGGTAAGTTTCAACTGGGTATCTCATCCATGGAGAGGGTGCTCAGGGGTCCCCCAGGCCAGGCTCTGGAGAGGAGAGTAGGCAGAGGTGGGGAAGTGGCTTCTCTTGTCTTCCCAGCCAGTCTTGCTCTGAGCAAGAAAATATTTTCAAACCCTTCCTCATGTTGATTCATTTACCCTGCTCATCCACTTCTTCTGAACCTCTCTACTTCCTCCTTTCTAGGCTTTTGAGCATTTTTATGCCAAATTCCATGATATTCTACCTTCTTTTTTCTGTGGTCAACCAGTTTCCCATGGATATTCTTAAGAGCACCTACTGGGATACTATCAAAATAGTAATGTGAACTGCAACCGATTTTTCCTTAGATAATTTTAGCTTTAATTGTTTTAATTCCTGTAACCATTAGAAATTTACTTCTTTCATGCCAGGGTTCTATCAAATAATAAACAAACTCGTCTTTAGAGTAGGCACAGTCTGCATAATCCACCTGACTTCTTAATGGGATGAAGAATTGAAAAATACATCTTCCATTGTAGGAGCCCCAGAGTCAGGTTTTGGTTTGCTTCTTATTTTATCTTATTGGAATAGCAATCAGCTGCTTACTGTTCTCTTCTGAATCCTCTGGGATTCAAAGTAAAAAAAGTCAGGGTAAAGAATTTAGGAGAATAATGAAAAGGGAAGGCAGAAGATAACAGCAGAGCCAGTTTTCCAAGCACTATAAGGCGTCCAATAAGTGCAGAAGTGATGAAGAGAAGCCTATAGCCAGAAAAGGCCGGGACTCCATAGGGCGAAGGGTTCATGGTAGATTCTAACACTTTGACATTTGTTTCAGGAAATGAAAGCCAACGGCGCTCTGGTTCTCAACTGAGAATTGTCTTAGTGGGTAAAACGGGAGCAGGAAAAAGTGCCACAGGGAACAGCATCCTTGGAGAGAAAGTATTTGCTTCTGGCACTGAGTCAAAACCTATCACCAAGTACTGTCAGAAAATGAGCAGCACATGGAATGGAAAAGAAATTGTTGTTGTTGATACACCTGGCATTTTTGACACCGAGAGGAAGGATGCTGACACACTCAAAGAGATCTCTCGCTGCATTCTCCTGACCTCCCCAGGGCCTCATGCTGTGGTTCTGGTGGTCCCACTGAGCAGTTACTCTAGGGAAGATCAGAAGGCCACTGAGAAGATTCTGAAAATGTTTGGAGACAGAGCCAGAAGATTCATGATTCTCTTATTCACCCGGAAAGATGACTTGGGTGGCACTGATATCCACGATTACTTAAGCACGGCTCCCCAAGCAATTCAAGAATTGGCGGGCACGTTTGGTCATCGCTACTGCGCATTCAACAATAAGGCAACAAAGGCTGAACAGGACATCCAGAGAGCACAGTTTCTGGACCTGATGCAGCGTGTGGTCAGAGAGAATAAAGGAGAATACTACACCAACAAAATATATCAAAAGGCAGAGGAGGAGATTCAGAAGCAAACCCAACTGATGCAAGAACAATTCAGAGCAGAGCTAGAGATAGAGAAAGAACGCTTTAGAGAGGGGTGTCAAGAGGAATTGCGAACAGTAGAAGATCATTTGGAGGAGGAAAAAAGAAATGAAGAAACGAAAAGAGAATTGCCAGAAACGGAGACTTTCTGTATCTCCAGGCAGCAAAATGCTAGAATGGGAGCTGAGGAGCAGGATGGAATCCTACGAGGAATCCTCAACGCATTGGTGTCAGTTTTCTTAATCATTCTTCGTACTTTTGTGAACAATTAAATCTAATAAAGAATCTGACTGGTCTTTTCTGCAATTCTTTGGGAACCATGGTCCTTAGTACTCTTGTTTCTGTCTCAGACCCTCAGGACTAAGAAGTGTAGTAAGTTCACCAACAACAATGGGCAAGTGTTTGATACAAGAGGAAGACAAATTCCCAGTTTTTACAATTAAAAAGTAAAAACTGTTGATGCTTTTGGATTCTTCATGAGAAATATAAAGAAAAGGATTACAATAGACCTAAGAAAATGACTCTAAGTTTTATATAGTAAACTTTAAACTAGAGTAGGTTCTTCTTCTAAATTCCTTCTAGATTAGCAGCTAGCTTTCTCACCCACTCCTTTCAGTTTTTGCCTTTAACATCATGGTATTAATCTAATCTCAACAATTTCTTACAAAAATTAATTGCACCAGTAGGAACAGTCAGCTCAGCCTGGCTTTTCCCTGGTCTAGTTCGTATGAGGCTAACAGGTATTGTAGCTCTGCCATGTCTGGTCTGCCCCTATCCCAACTCACTCTCTCCAGTGGGGATTGTGATCCAATAGAGAAGCCTTCCACATCCCTCTACCAGCTTTGCCCCCTGCCCCACCCTGGGTCTTGTGTGTGCTAGTTGGGTGCCAGGCCCAGTCTGGCATGGCCAGCCTCACGTCAGCTTTTGCCAGTGGGTGCTGTAACCTGGCCTGGCCCATCCCACCTTCAATTCCAGCTTGGGTTGGTGGGAGCAACAGCCTAGCCCACCCAGCCAGTCCCCAGTCCCCTAGTCATGTGTACTGGTGTGTGTTGCAACCAACCCCCACCCCCTGACCCACACGTCATTCTGGTGCTTGGATTCGCCAGTGGGTGATGTGAAGTGGCCCTGCCTGGTTTGCCCTGACCTGTGCCATATGTATGCAAGACTATTCCCTGGCCTGGTCTGAGCTGCCCCCTATCATCGTTCTTGTGCTCACCTGCAGGGACTGTGTCCTGACAGAGGAATTTCCCAGGCTCCTCTATCAGAACCTTTCCCAATGCCAGATCTTGCACACACGGGTAGGTCCATGGGCCAGCACTACTCAGTCCACCTCCTGACCTAGCAGGAACAATGACCTTTCCTGACCAACCTTCAACCCATTCTGGTTATTCTTCTTGGGTGTTACAGCCCAACCTTGCCTTGTCCACACGCAGACATAGCTCACACATGACTCACCAGGGGCAGAAACCTAGCCTAGCCCATCCTATACCTACCCTGGTTCTCATGAGCACCAGTGGGTGATGGCAGCTTGGTGCACTCAGCCCCAGTCCACACTTGTGCCAAGGTACACTGCAGCCAAGTCCAGATCACAACATGGCTCCCATTCCAACCCTGTGCTCACCTGTGGGAACCCCAACCCAGCTAGGGTGGCCTCTTAGCTCTCCAACCAGGTCTGTTCCCAGTTATAGATATTGCATGTGGCAGTGGTTGCTCTGACACAGGGATTACTTTCATTGGAAAACAAAGATGTATTTAATGCAAAACAAAGATGTTTTTTACTTTTATGAGGGAATACTTTTAATGGAAAACAAAATTTATTTATTTATTTATTTAAATGGCAGGGTGGTACAGAGAAAGACAACAGCCAGGTTGAAGCCAGGAATCATTTCCTCAAAATCTCCATGTGGGTTGTAGGAAATCAAGAATTATAACCTTTGTTTTCTGCCTCCCAATTCTATTCCCAAAAGCTGGATTGGAAACAGAATAGCAGAATTTTTAAAAAAAGATTTATTTATTTTTATTGGAAAGGCAGATATACAGAGAGGAGGAGAGACGGAGAGGAAGACCTTCCATCCATTGGTTCATTCCCCAAGCAGCCGCATCAGCTGGAGCTGAGCCAATGCAAAGCCAGGAGCCAAGAGTTCCTCCGGGTCTCCCACACGGGTGCAGGGTCCTAAGGCTTTGGGCCATCCTTGACTGCTTTCCCAGGCCACAAGCAGGCAGCTGGATGGGAAGCAGGGCCGCCGGGATAGAACCGGTGCCCATATGAGATCCCGGAGCGTGCAAAACGAGGACCTTAACCACTACGCCATCACGCTGGGCCCCGAATAGCAGAATTTTATCTGACTCTCCAATATTAGATTTAGGCATCACAAGTGGTAACTGAACATACTGCACCACAGTGACCACTCTGTCCTTGTTTGCTTATTTGCACGCTTGTAAGCCATCAGAAATCTTGGGTGTCAGGTGTGGACCAGGGTCTTTCTATCAGGATTATGCTTGAAAAGTGCATTGTTAAGTGCCCTCAGAGGATGTGCCACATTAGAGACCCTGGGATGGTTGGGAGGCTGGGTGTGGCTTTTCCTTTAATCTCCTCCCATCCCCCAGACATAGGAAGAAATCAAGAGAATGTGGAAACAATGTTCTTACCCACTCTCCTCAAGCCCCTTCCCTTTGTGCCCTGATCAAGTATGTGAAAATCATAGACAATTTAAAAAAATTAAAACAAATAATATAAATAAAGCTAAAGAAAAAAAGCAAAAAACAAAGAAAGAAAACTGCATTGCCTGGAGGGGAGGAATAATGCTGCATTTCACATAGCAGAAAAGGTAAAGAGTGTGAGTCTGCTAAAAGTCAGATTAATACCTCCAGGAGGGGGAGGTGTGTGGAGATGCATTAATTGTGGAGATCTGCCTCCCCGCCCCCCCCCCCCAGAAAAACCAGATTACAATGTCAGCAGACTGAGAATGCTGCAGGGAGCAGGCTCCTTTGCCAGCTGATGTGTCTCAGGAGGCGTGAGGCACCTTTGTTATCTCCCTCTTCCTTTAGTGATTGTGGCTTAGACGTATCTGAGTACAGAGTTCCGTTTGATTCCTCTTCTAGTTGGATCTGTTTATTCACCGCTGTTGATTCTGGAACTCATGTTTACCCATCTGGTGATCATTTCCCTTAATCCCTTGTGATCTGTTGCTGGAGTAGTTTGCATACCATTGTTCAGTTAACTTGTAACTTACCAACCTACTTACCATGTAAAAAATTGGTATAAGAAACCCAGAAAAATTCAATAAACCGTGCATTGGATCATCTCTCCTGTGCACCGCCCCCACCCACACGCCCCGTGTGCCAAAGCTCTTCTTGGCACACACATCACACCTCAAATCAGTCCCAACTAAAGGGACCACTGGCAGAGGTGCTCATGATCCACCTCACAACATGATTGAATGGGAATTTAGTTAACAGCCTGTGAATTTCAGACCACGCATTCAGAACATGTTACCTGTGAGTAACAATTTTACCTCCCTCTTTGACTCTCATCGTTTGAGATATAAACAATCTGCCTCTTATGGTCAATGGCCTCTGTTCCATTTCTGGATCCTGTCATTATTTTCCATCGATTGTTCTTATATACTGATGTACTTTTAGTTAGGTTTTTAGAGGCTGACCAACTCCTAGGAGGACTGAGAATGTAGAGCTCGAAGAATGTCATGGCTTCCCTGGCCCAGATACTGGTAGAGTCAGAAAGATGAAATAATATTCATATCAGAAAGCAATCAGAAAACAAACACAGTCTACAGGATGGCACTGGAAGAAAAGTACCCAAAAGAAGAGTAGCAAATATAACAAAGAATCAACATGAGAAGATATTTGTAATATGTTCAGAGATGAAGAAATTGAAGAAAGGTGAAACTGTTAAATACAATCTAAAAATCAAACTTTTATTGGATGAGATTAAGGCTGATTATTGACCATATTAAAAAAAAGTTTACTTGAGGTCAAGGGAGTATTCTAATTTTAATTACAGTGGTATGCAGGTGCATAAAAGGAAAAACAGAATGTCAATGACTGGTGGAACATTAGCACGCGTACACACACACACACACACACACATACAGTCATGACTTGAATAGGTCCTCCAAAATTCTTACGAAAAGTTAATACACAATGCAGTAATACAAGGATTTGGAATAAGTCACAAGGATTCATCCATGGGGTTGATGCCTTCATAAAAGAGATGCTACGATACCTTTTTCCTTTTCTCCTCTGCTCCCTTTCTCCCCCTGAGCACACAGATTTTTTTTTTTTCTCTCTGATGATGCAGCAAGGTGCCATCTTGAAAGCAGAGAGTATGCCTTCATCAGAGCTCAGATCTGTGGGTGCCCTGGCCATGGGGTTCCCAGCTTCCTGATGTGAGAGAGACATTAACATTACTTAGGAGTTACCGGTATGCTGTATTTTGTTGTAATAGAACAGATAGACCAGGACAAGCATACTACACACATATGCAGCACACAAATAATTATAGATCTGCAGAGGAGAAGGGAACAGGTAAAAATGTATTCTATAAAATATTGACTACGGAGCGGCCTACTCCACACAACACAGCCAACTGCTGGCCAGTGGCAAGACATCCTCATACCACAACAAGGTAGGAATAACTCCATGCCCACCACCAGTAGTTCTAGTTGAGAAGAATCCCTTAGCCACACAGTGACTTTTAGCTCAGCCTAGGAGGCCTATTCAGTGAAATAATAACTGAAAACTTCCTAATGTGGAGAAAGAAAGGGATACCCAAGGACAGGAAGCACATAGAACTCCCAAAGAGATGGCCAGAAAAAATGTCAAAAAAAAAAAAACCCAAATATACATTTTCCCTAATTTGTGATAACTAATGCACAGAGTTCAAAAATGTAATCTTCATGTGTTAGAGTAACATTCTGGGATTTGATTATTATGTACAACCTTTGTTTGTAGACCCGAGGAATAGCAAGCAGGTCTTTTGTTTTGCTTTGGTTTGGTTATTCTATTCTGTTTATTATTGTTGTTATTTTATAGTTACCAGATGTTAATAATTTTATATAATGGAGGGTTGAATTAACTAGGAAAAGAAAGAAGTAAGGAAGGCGGCTGGCAGGTGGGGAATGCAGGCAGGAGGTGGGTAAGGAGGGAAGCTATCATTAAGCTCCTAAATCTGTGCTGCCATATATGTGAAATCTGTCCAACAGATTACTCCTCCACCCTGCAGCACCGGCATGCCTTGAGGCACCGTTCATGGCCTGGCTGCTCTGCTTCTGATCCAGCTCTCTGCT